TAGTACTAAAGATTAGTCAAATTGAAAATTGAAATTTGAAAACTCTAATAAAAATAAGTCATCATATGTATTGGATCCAAACACCTTTTTTTAAGCTAAAGATTCAAGATAAAGTTAGATCTACAAGACCCACAAAGGAAGAGTAATTTAGATATACTTCAAGGATGCACATGTATGCCATTTGTCCTAACCAAGATTTGCCCATAGATAAAGAAGGCAAGCATCAAACTTATTCTGGTCTAAGCCATGTAATTATGCTTACAGATATAAGAGTTGCAAGATAAAAAGTTGAAAGGTAAGATAATTTACTCTCCATAGTAATTATCCTCCTCATTTGAATCATTTGCTAGACAAATCACTAATCTGGGCATCGGAGTACACCCGAAATCTAAAACTTTTTTCTCTTGATAAGTCGGACATACTCTCCTCCCATCATATAAAATAAACCTTAAGCAATAAGCTTCAAACTTGGCTTGACAATCAAAAAGGTTAAATTCTAAAATTTGAATTATTTCAAGTTTGGATTAGACAAATTCAAGTTATTAATTTTCACTAGTCAAATATCATATTGAGTTAGATTCAAATTCAAATGAAGTAAATGAGTTTTTTGAATTTGGATTTGTACTACAAATTTTCATGTAAACGATTCAAATTGTTACCAAACTTCTCAAAATTGGACTATGGTATCTATAATTATTTTTAATTTACATTCATAATCAAGTAATATATTTATATAATCAATTATTACATTATTAAATAATTAACTAATAAACTAAAACTTAACTAAACAATCAAATTCACATACAGTGAAACTTGAACTTAAGACCTTAAGATTTTAGAGCCTTCTCTTTGCAACTAAACCAAAAATTAATATGTTACCTATAATTAAATGTATAGAAATTGCCATAGGTAAAACATTTTCGACTCATATATTAATTTCTGCACAAATTATGCAGCTTTCCACTCACTTTATATTGATTTCAAACCCATCTTAACCTAATTGGACACTTGAAAATGTCCTACCTCTTATCGAAATCATAAGATGTGCATGTTAAACCAAACTCTTTACTTGATCAAGTCAGCTATCTATAAACAGGTCAATGCATGAGAAAAGAATCATAAATAGTAACCTATGTATAAAACTACAACTTGGTTGAATAATTCTCTTTCAAAGCGTACGCTAATCATCAAGAACGTATATTTGGGTCAAATTCTAAAAAATATTGTTTGTTTGATTACTGTTTGTTAAGTGAACAACTTGTAGTAACAAGAGAAAAGAATAATAATAATAATAATAATAATAATAATAATAATAATAATAATAATAATAATAATAATAATATTCTTTTATATATACAAAAATGCAAATGAATAGTAGGTTTTGTTACAAAAATCATATTTAATTTACAAAATATTATTTATTTTAATGTGAAGATCTTATAATTTTATCTCACAAAAAATATTATAATGTAAGTATAAATTCAAATCTCTTCACATATATACTATTGTGAACTCTCAAATATTCCAAAATCTTATAATTATATATATATATATATATATATATTATAACGTTGTCTCTCAAATTCGGATGTGGAATTAAGCGTTACATTTGTACTCTATTGCAGAGCTATAGTTTTTATATACATTGCAGAATTTGGAGGCTGACGGCTGGAAAATTTCCAAATTGGATAAATATTGGAGCATATTATAGATCTCACCCATCAAATTTGTTGAATCAATATGGAATAAAGTTAATTTTTTTTATATAATAAGCTTTTAATTTTGCGAAATCATCAAATTCTGACGGCCAAATGCTGGAAATTTTCCAGGGAAGTGCATAGATATCGAACGACCACCTACCCCAAGGAAAGAAAATGATACAATAATGAAAAAAGGGGCAAAAATTTCCATGAAAAGAATCTATGCATCTCGTATCAAGCTACTATTCTGCCCCCCCCAAAAAAGTAACTATGTATATAAAAAAAAATAGTGGTTAGGTGATAAAACTAAGGTTGGGACAACAGAATTTGGTTGGATTTATAGACTAATTATTCACGTTCATTTTGAATCTTTTAACTATTTCAAAGGAACAACACTGATATGGGATGGGATTGAACTTAGCCTAAATCTACTCGATTCATACAATCACTCGCATCTAAATTATTTAGAGTTCAACTTTTAATACTTATAATCCCTTATTATATATCCATAGTACAACCCCTTTTGTTAAAAAAAATAAATGATATGGGATTGTTGATTTATATAGTTAATTTCATCAACATATCAATTCTTTTTTGTCATATTGAAAGAAATCAAATTTGGTTTAATATTATTCATTTTTATTTACAAGACAAATGCTCTTATTTTCATTTACTTATATAAAGATTCACTTGACATTTATAAAACTACATAAAGTAAATGTAACTTTTCTCATTTTATAAGTAATAAGTCTCACCATTGTCGTTTTATTATTATTATTATTATTGTTATTTTTTAAATTTGTCTTATTTAAGTTACGTGAACGAATGGTTTATTTTGGTAAGTATTCTCATTGCACTGAAATCAACAATTTCATTTTGGAAAAGAAAAGAAATATTTTCTTTATTATATCTAATAATTCATGTATTCAAATTTGTTTTTTTTATATCTAATATATTAAAACAGGAAAATTATTATATTATAATTTTTATCAATACGTCAAAACAAAATATATTTTTTATTTTTTAATTAATATATAATTTTTATTAAATATTAAATCATATTATTTTTATACATTTTTTCATATCTTATTTAAATTAACATATCTATATACTATTCAGAATGAGAATTTCAAACAAAAATCTTTGTTTCTGATAATCACGTCCACTGTCCACATACATGAGAAAAAGAAAAGGCAACAGGCAAATTGCCATGGTTGCTTTTAACAGCACTATGCAAAGCTGACTCCTAATTTTCCCACAATCCTACTCAATCAACATGGTGCTATCAACATCATGTATGGAAATCATCACAAAAAAATTCTTCAAAACCATGCAAATTGAGTGCCACTTGTAAAAAACCAGCTAGCCCCATCAAGTAGGTGAAAGATGACGACAATATAGATGTTAGGATTATGAAAGCAATTTACAAAAGATTTTTAGACATTTTTTTGGTGAGTGATTTTTGGATTAGAGGATTGGGATTTAAGGGTTAGGAGCCAATTTAGACTCACCAACCTGCCGCAAATAAAGGGTCACCCTTTTTTTAGCTAATTTTATCAGGGTGGATTCTAATTTTCTCCATTGGTGTACCCATCACAAATTTATTTTTTTTACTCATGGTTTAATAGATTTTAATACTTTCTTTTACCAAAATAATCTAATTTCAAACAACATTAATTGCCTTTTACCTTGTCAAAAAAGATAAACAATGGGTATGAATTAAATATTTATTTCATATCTTTTTTTGCATGCCAAACTTATTAAACAGAAAAAAATTGGGTTTCCTTTTATCTTAGTAGTTATTTTTTACAAAAAAATCGATAATTTTAAATATGATAATATAATATAACAAAAATATTAAATTAATATAAAACTTATATAAATTAAAATTTTGATAAAAATATATTAAAATTTGAAAAAAATAAAAAAATTTCTCTTATATTTACATGTATCAATATAAATTATAATAAGGTGATTTTTATATTTTAGATATTTGACAATAACACATAACACAAATACTAAGAATTTTTTGCGTTACAGTGTCTTAAAAAATTGGTTTCTTAGTTTTCTGTGAATAATTAAGAAATGATGAAAGTGGTTAATTAACAAAAACATGATTAGATTACAAATCAAAATCGTGTCATGTAATAATGCCAGGCAGCAACAGCACACGTGAAAGCGCAAAATGGCACCTGTGCTTGTCAGATTCCTTTCTCTAACCTGTGTTCACACTTGTTAGATTCCACTCCTAACCGCGTTCACACCTGTGCCATCTTAGGCTTGATTTAGCTGCTTTATGAATTTTTTTTTATTTTAAAGCTTGAAAATGGCTTGGCTAGTTGGCTTGGATATTAATTGAATTTTATGGCTTGAGTTCATATCCCAACTCAAAGACTTTTCTATAAATATATATTTTTTGCATTTATTCAAGATAAAAGAAAACTCCTTACTAATATAAGAAATCAAACTTTTTGATTAAACATTATTATGTAGTAACAAAAGCATATGAAAAATAATAACTAAATTTTTTAATAAATTCCTTTAATTATTATTCACGACATCTTATTAAAATAATTCGAATCATAATATACTTAATTATTTATTTTTTTTATTTTATGATTTTACATCTTTGAATTTTGATGAGATTAGAAAATTATTGACAATAGTAATGTTTTATAATTTGATCCTTATTATATAGCTCTATGGACTAAAATAGAGCTTAATCACGGTAAATAACTACAAGTTTTTCTTTTTAATCTTTTTTTATTATTTTATTTAGAAAATTCAAATCTTATTGTTAATACAAAATTATATTTTAATTATTGAATAAAATATTCAATCAAATTCTTAATTTTTATATAAAAAATAAAAAAAATTAAAATTTATTAAATATTATTTTTTAAAATAATTGTACGAATAAATTAAAATAAATGTTAAAATTTCACATATCTAATAACTACTATTAAATGGGCGGCCACAAAGAACAAATCTAAAGAAGCTAAGCCATACCCAAGCCAAGCCAACTTCACCGACATCGTTAGCCAATAAAGTTGTCAATCACATGCATTTCAGTTGAAACCCAAAACCAACCGAAATACTTGGTGATGAGGTCAACCATTTATCATCAGCCACGTCGGACGGCATGTCATCCTACGTGGCAACATTTTAGGTTTGAATTTTTCACCTCCGCCACCACCACCTTTCCTCCTCTTCCTATATATATACCCCATTACTTATTAACGTTCAAGTCCTTGTTCTCTTTATTCAGACAAAAAAAAAAAAGGGGGAAAAAAAAAACGAATGGGAAATTGTTTGCGGCGTCAATCATCGGCACAATGGGCCGGCGATGATTGGGGAACATCGGCGAGGGACGACGATGACGAAACAGGACGTGACACGTGTGAATATGAGGGTATGATGGACATAGAAGAAAAGGGTCTTATTGGAAATCATCAAAAAATTGGTTTTACAACATCTTCATCTCCTACTACTACTCATGAAGTGAAAGTGAAGATAACAAAGAAGCAGCTGGAGGAGTTATTAGGTAGGGTTGTTGTAAAAGAGTTATCAGTGCAACAGGTTTTGGCACAGTTGATCACTGTTAGTAATCAATATGAAACAAACCAACGGTCCTGGAGGCCTGCACTGCAAAGCATTCCTGAGGTGAATTGAGCTGATCATGGTGAAAAGGGAAAGAAAACTAGAAATTTTATTTTCATTACTGGGGTTTTCTTTCTTGTATGGTACTTTTATTTTCTTGGGAAAGCGACAGAAATGGAGGGTAGAGAAAAGTTCTATAGATTTTGTTGATCAGTTTGTATATAGAAAGAAGAAGGTTTTGTTGTATAGAGTTAAACAGTACCTTTTTTATTTTATTGATTAAAGTGTTTCATATTTGATTTTTTTGTTAATTAATTAAAATTTCTGTTCAAATCTGACTCGGTATATATGCTGATGATGATTCAGTCATATTTATTAGGTAATTATAACTCAAATTATTAGTTTGAAAGGTACTTAGATAAAAGCTTAGTTTATATTTGAACAGTAAAGAGATTTTTTATTTGCTGACTCATGAAATTTATCCATTCAACTGTCAGATTGTAAGTCACTATGCTGATTTTCAAGTTGGCTTTCAAACATTTCTTACTCATTTAACCACCAAAGATTGTGACAATGACATCACAGGAACAAAAATGAAGGTTTGATAATGGCTTCAAATAGCAACTACTCAAAACTTCAATCTTGAACAAATCAAAATGCCAAAAACATTAAAAACAAAGGGAAACCTTCAAAATTTTCTTTTTTGAACTTAAATTTACCAAATACCATAGAAATTTTCAATTTCATAATATGTGGTACTTATAAGTTGTGTTTTGATTCATGTTTTTCCAAACTAAAAATGTGATGAGGTCTGAATTGATGGAATTTGTTGCTTTTGTTTAGAAAAATTGATGGAACAAAATCTGGTTTTATGTTTTGATAATGTGAAGGAAGGACCCATATGCATTATTTTTCTGATTTAATTTGGTCATTGAAGGACCCATATCAAGCTTTGGGTTCTTGATGACCTCAGTATGACTGCAACATTATATGGAGACTGACAAATTAAACTTGCATTTTTTTTTTAAATTTTAACAAAAATCATAAATGATTGGGCAAAAACATAAGTATTATGTGTTTGACGTGTACAAATTCTGATACAACAATCTTCATGTTTTACATGTATTAAACATGAAACAAAAAAATACAAATACACGAATTATTAAATTTACTTATATGTCATTACTCGAGTATGTCCAACAAAAAGCCTGGTTGAATTGGCAAGCTCTTAAACTACATCAAAGTTTCTAATGAGTTACTATCCCTCAAAAGGCAATCGTATATTACCTGGTCCGTGACCCTCCCTCCCCCTATGCACTGAATTCAAATGAGGTCTTGCTTCTTGCAACGTCAAACTCAATTAATCAGTGTGCTCTTCTAATTACTGAAAGCGTGTGTGAACTGTAAACTTTTGCAAAGATGTTCCGTACACATCTAACCTATTCTTGCTGGTCCGGGCCCTGGTTCTCTACATCCCGATGAGAAGCCTTGCGTGTCATTATTCGCTCACATTTCCTGAAATCCATTAAACAATAATTAGTAGATGACATCTAAGATTCACAGATATAAAATTGTTCCAAGAAGCCAAAATTGAACCGTAAAAATCTGAATGAGAAGTGCAAACTGGAAGCACAAGAAAAGTACATGTTTAGATCCTCAGTCCTGCTCTTAATCTCACTTGACCATAATAGAGGGTCAATGTTCTTAGGTAAAGAGTCTTGTTGTTGAGTTTTCTCTCTCAGCCACTGCTCAGCCTGATTGCACGCGTTCATGATCTGAAAAACAAAAAGCTGCAATCAGTTTGAATGTGAGTGAATATCGCATTTATAATGTGTAATCACTAATTATCATACCAATTCTCTATTCTCATTTGGCAGAGATTCTATTAAAATTCTATAATCCACAATGCACTTCAGCAGATCTCTTGAAGCCTGTGCTCTTGCTTCTTCATCTTTGTATCGATTCTCAACTGGATCCACCAACTATAAAACAAAATAGGCAGTGAGGGAGAAGTCGAGAGCAACAAAGGTAAACTTTAAGATTAAATAAATGATAACCTTCTTGAGAGCCTCTAATTTGGAAGTGTAAGCGCCTTCAGTTTCATCCTCCCCATCATCATAAAGCCACTCCTCTGTCTGCTGTAGGCTCCGGGAAATGCCCTCTCTCTCCTTATCAGATGCAAAACCCCTATATGTGTTGAAAAGCTTCACATATATATTATTATAAGTCAGCATATTGAGAAAAACAGACAGAAATTTAACACCTGTAGTTCAGATCAAGTGTTTTACGTTATTCCGCATTTCATAGACATAAGACTCCAAAGCATTCTTTTTCTCTTTGGTTTGTTCCATTGTCCTGTCTTGTTGGGCCAACTTAAGTTCTTTATCTTGAGCTTCGATGAGCTTGGTCTTTGTCATCGCACCATATATGTTTTCACGAACTGGTATCTCAAGCCTCCTGGTTGCTTTATCATTGGTCTTACCATCAGCCTGCATAGAAAAGAAAACATAACGAACTTTTCAACTACAAGGCTTTCTCCTCCATCAAGAGAGAGAGAGAGAGAGAGAATTATATCTTTGCAGGACTGGAAACAAATATACTCATGCCATGTTAGCATTGGACAAAAAACTCACAGAAGCATGTGATGGTTTGGACTGCACAACAGTACCATCTTCACCGCCATTTGCTACATGCTGGGCCTCCTTTGTGCTCATTTCTGAATGTGTATAATTCTTTGTAACTGTATCATCTACATGCTCTTCGATCAACTGAAGGCAAAATCTCTCAGAAATGAAATATCAATAAGATGATTGAAGAAAATGTGAAATCCTACTTACTGTAGCTGACTCAACGGTGACAATGCCATGAATGTTTAACTTAACTTTGACTTTAATCCTTGCCCTCTCACTATGGGAAGCTTGGAAAGGGCCAATCTGCAAAACCAAATGATCATCAATCTATATGACAGACTTTTCCGTTCAAACAAGAAACATTCATTTAAGGTATATATACCGTGAAGCAACTTATTTTCGAGGATACTCCAGAAGGCAGTTCATGTGGATTAGCGTAGAATGCTTCCAAATGGAACAAACTACTTCTCTGTAATTGCAGAACTTTAACACTTGGAATTGGTTGGCATCTAGGAAACAACACGCAATTTGACTCTTCTTGTGAAATTGGGGTTTCATCTAAAGAGAATCCTATGGAGAATGGAATACAATCTTGAACCTACAAAAAATAACACACAAAGTTGCCTTTACCATACACAAGAATGCATAAAAATAAGCAAAAAATAGTTCCTCATATAGGAGAGAGCATGCAGTGGTTAACCCTTGATCTCTGTTGTTATATCATGGAGAACAATGAGCAAGGAGGGGGAGAATGTGTTTGCAAAAGTTGAAGTAAACTTTTGCACTCCATATTATTACCATAAATGTAAACATGGTGAAACTAGTAACAAAATGTGAACAAAAGAAAGAACCATGTAGAAAAGAATCATTAGAAGTAGTACAGAGAGTTATACTTCTGACCTAATTACAAACCTCGTAATCTCTAACCCGAAAAATTGGACTGAGCATCGCACATTGGAGAGCACATCCCCGTGCCACACACTCGCTTGCATTTATTGTCCGACTGGGTTCTCTCCTAAATAGAGAAGCTAACTGTCTTGTTATAGCTGGTATCCTGGACCCTGATCCAACAAGCTCAACAGCATGGATTTTCTCCACAGCTAACCCTGCATCAGTTATAGCTTTAGTACAAGGAACGTTAATCCTCTCCAACAACCAGGAAGCCAACTTCTCAAATTCTTCCCTCCTTATGAAACCTTTGACGTCCTTTTCGTCCATCAAACACTCGATATTTAGAGGTGCCTCTGCATTTGCACTCAAAACCTTCTTCAGTTTTTCACATGCTGCCCTTAACCTGATACAAGCCCTGATATTGGTGTATACATCTATATTATACTGCTCCTTGAAATGCACCGAAAAATATTCAAACAAAATCTCATCAAAATCCCTTCCACCCAAGCTGCTATCAAAAGCATGTGACAATATCCTCATGTTTCCAGCCTCAAACGATACAATTGAGACCTGGGTATCGCAATGACCAATATCAATAAATGCAACATATGTTGGACCAGCATTGGAGAAATCCGTTTTGTAAATCCCATAACCAAGTGCAGTTGCAGTACAGTCATGCATCAATCTTAGAGGCTTTAACCCAGCAATTGTAGCAGCATCCAGATACGCACATCTTTGTAAGTCAGTGAAGTAAGATGGAATCCCAATAACACAATCCAAAACAGGAACTCCCAAATTTGTCTCTGTCATATATTTCAAATGTGCAAAGAGCATTGCCATAATCTGCACCGGCGTAAATCTATGAGTCTCACCTAAATACTTCAAGTGAATCAAAATGCCACCATCCTGACCCTCTGAAGTTTCAAATGGTAACAATCTTAACTCATTCTGAACATCAGGTTCCTGAAATTTCCTACCAATTAACCTTTTCACTTGAGATACCGTAGTTTTGGGGTGCATCATAGCAGAGGCAGCACCAGCAGAGCCGATGAACCTCTGCTTTTCTCCGAAGCACACCACAGAAGGTGTTTCACGTTTGGATTCATCATTGAGCAACACATCAACACCCCTTTGCTTTACAGCAGCAATAACACAGTTCTCATTTCCAATATCAAAACCTACAACACTCATTTCAACTCACCACAAACAAGAATTTTATCCAAAACCCACCAAGGAAATTAAAAAAAAACCTTGATTGAATCAAACTCTACAACTAAATTGCATTAAATTTCTCAAATTTTCCTCCTTATACCTCAAAGAATCACCACCAAAAGCTACAAAGAAGAAAACCAGCATTAAACCATTAACAATTTGCTTAATTTCTAAGAAGCCATTAGCTAAGAAAACAAAAGAAAAATATAAAATTTGTCTTTTCAAAATTCAATTACAAAAGAAACTAAAAGGCACCAAATTTGAAGCCTTTTGCAACTTTTTTGTTTTAAAACAATGCCCCAAAGACCAAAATTTCTATTTTCTTCCTATTTCATCAGAAACCAAATAAAACCCATATCTTTGACAACATTAAAAAGAAATATCCAAACCCAACAAATTAAAAAAAAAAAAAGAACAAAAAAGGGTAATAGCTTTAAGTAAAAGGAACCATAATTTACCTGATAGAGTAACAATCTGTCGATAAGAATAAGAAGAAAGAGAAATTGAAACCCAAAGAAATTGAAAGAGGAAGTGCAGATGGTATCGAGAGAAAATCTCGTATTTGCTCGCTTAGCTTGAGGCAAAATAACCAGGCTTCAAGAAATGCAAATTTTAATAATTTTTGCACGTTGTGTGAAGGGAGTATTAAATTAGAGGGAAATTATGCAAAATGTCGATCTTTTGGGCTTTTTAGAAATTAATGGTTTTTGCTGTCTAATAAATTTATTAACTTATAGAACTAGATACAGATAAGTTTCAAATTTACCTTTGGTGGAAATTTAACCGATAAATATAATATATAGGTATTTTTTTATTCAAGTTTTCTTTTCTTTTTTTTTTTTTTTTTAAGTTTTTAAGTTTGATTCATCAGGTATTTTTTTAATTTTATATAAGATATAATTATTTCAACATACTTTTGAGTTTGAATGAAATTGAAATTGAAATTTTTTTAGTTGAAATTGTTTTAGATTTGAGTAATTTCAAGAAATTACTTTTATTGATTTAATATTTATAAAAAACTAAAATTAGGTATTCAAAATTTGTTTTTTCAAGCAGTTTATACCATTAATTAAGTTAAAATTTTATTATAATAAATATTGATCAATAAAAATACATGACATATTATGATTTTATTAATCATTTTTACATTAATTTATTAGTAAAAACAAAATGTTTGTCACAAACAAAATTTAAGTATCTAATTGTAAATATTTTATAGATACTAAATTATGAAAAATATATATTTTATGGGTTACATATTAACAAAAAAAAAAAACAAAAAACCTACACAAACATAAGTGAAAGACACCATCAAAGAAGAGTCAGCCCTTTTCTTTTAATCCCTAACTTCATGTAACCCTGTAAGAAATCTATGTATATATATTTTTTTTCGCAAAACTTAAGGTTTTTGTCTTTAAAAAACAGTTTGGGTTTTTTAATTTATTGCTTTTTTTTCTGTAGTTTTGTTCACTTCCCTTTCCTTTCTGGGTTTTTTTTTTTTTTCATATTTATTAATATACGCTTTATTTATGCTTGTTGCAGGATTTTCCTTTTGATTGGAGTTGTTGAAAATGCTGTGGAAAGGTCTACTCTTTTCACTTTTCTCACCAGTAATTTATGGAATTTTTATTTATTATCATTGGAAATTTTGGTTTCAATGGTTTTTGTAATGCTTTTTTACTCTTCTGACTCAGATGTTAGGCTTTTGTTGGGTTCTTTATCCTGCGTTTTTTTCTCTTTGATTTCCTCTATGTTACTGTCACTGTGCATGTATTGCATGTTTGCAATTTGTTGTTAATATTGAGTGAAGGGCTTTTTTTATTATTATTATTATTTTGTAATTATGATTTAGTTGTCATTAAATTAATGTGTAGCTTATCTCATAGATTGCATGCATGAATTGAGTTTCTCTGTTTGAGTTGTTTGTTATTATTAATTTTGCATTAAATCAGTGTTCATAAATCCCAGAAAAGAAACATGTTAATCAGGGGTTTATCTTTAGTCTTCAATGAATCCAAGTATCTTTAGTCTTCAATGAATCCAAGGCTGGGGGGAGATCTTTATCCTGTTGTTTTTGTCAAAGTTTTTATCAAATGCCCTTTAAGTCGTGGAAAGTTTGAATTGTAGGAACAATTTTAAGAGTTTTTATGGAAATTTGAGGAGATTTTTTAATTTGTGGGAAAAAAAATTAGAGTCTATTTTTTGTTATAGGAATGCAAACGGATAGATGTGTAGTAAAATATGTTCAGCCATGATCTCATGGTTTTATTTCCTATTGTAATTAGCTAATTCAACCTGTTGGCCATGAAATATGTTGCTTCGCTGGATCTATATATGTTGCATGAGTACTATTGACATCCACATGCCATATGTTTGATAAGATACATGATTGTGACTGCCCATTTTCTCCGGCATTACCTCGATAGATTCATTAAATAAGATACAAGACCGTTGGCCTGGATATTCCTAAAGAGGAAGGGTGTTCAACATGGCCTTAATGACCTGCAGTGATGTTGAGAAGGCATCATTCTTGCTTGATGGTTTATGAAGTTGAATGTTTGCTTTTCGACATGTTGGTTAAACACAGTTGTGCTTTGTACCTGCTTGGTTGTATAGACTTTATTATACCTACGTTTTGTCTTCCAGGAAGGAAACAGTATTAAGACCTGTGGAAAAAGTAATTTCTTTGCTGTAAGTACTGTGATGGATCAAGACAATGACCAAGAGAATAACCCTGATGCATCAGCAGATGTTCTGCTGAAGTGCAGTCGTGGTCGGCTGAGGAAACATCCGAAATATAATCTAATTCAGGGGAAGAATCCAAATCTGAACCATGCAGGGAATACCTGTATCCGACCTGGATTTGAAGGGGTGAATGGAAATCAACCCCTTCAAGCGAATTCAATCAATGATGCAAGTAATATGATGGTGGGTCAGGATGTTTATGGTGTTATTGAGGCAGCATTTGATGCAGGATATTTGCTCACTGTTAGGGTTGGCAACTCTGACGCCACTTTAAGGGGTGTGGTTTTCAAGCCTGGGCATTTTGTTACTGTTTCAGCTAAGAATGATGTGGCTTTAGATGTTCAAATGATGAGAAGAAATGAGATTTCCTTCCCAAGGGAGAGGAATGAGCAGCATGTGCATTCTCGTGGAAATGTATCTGCTCATCCATTCAATTAACCAGCTGTTGTCAACCAGAAGCCTCGAGCCTGGTTTTCAAATCTTGGATGCTCAAAAAGCAAACATGTGCAGTCGATGTCAACACAATCTGCTTCTCCACTAATGACCAGAGGCAATGTGCTGCCTGTTGTGCTCCAACCTGCTAATTTATCAAACCACGAATCAGTTGCCAACCAACCATCTCTGGTTGCAAGCCAACCAGCTCATTTGATGGCCTATAAAGGCAAACAAGTGTCTGAAGCTGCTGATACATCAAAGAAGGGAACACCAACCAACCAGATGCCAACAGTTGGAAACCAAATATTTCCTACTCAATCTCTAAGTAGTAACCACAGCATGCCAAAAGGCATACAAAGTGAAACTGTTTCATATAATCAACCCGCAACAGAGGTTTTGCAGGAGACAGAAGCCAAGTCAATGACTGGCATGCCTTTTGAGAAACTATTAACTGTAGTCATAAAAAGAACTCAAGTCCCCCCACAACCATTGGAGGATCAAGGTGGTAATGGGTCGGTCAAAGATTCTGGACATAACCTGGAAGATGATCAGCCACTCTCTATTGAACCACTACAAGCTGTACAGCCTAATAATTCTTCTTCTTCTTCTTCTGTGCTCAAACATTTGGAAAATTTTAGAACTGGAAAGATGACTGAACTGCTGAAGGTATAATGAATTTGAGCTAGAATTTTATTTCCAATTGACTAATCTATTGTGCACCTGAGGTTTGACATAGACTGATACACTGCACTCCTTTTCAAGGCTGTTCAGGAAAACATGAGGGAAAACCAAGCATCTTGCACTGAAGAGCCAGCCATTGGTTCTGGAGAAACTGAGCATGGAGATAAGTAATGCATGATTCCAACAAGCGTTCACAGGTTTTGAGTGTCTAATTCAACAGGCATTTTACTCTCAAGTTTTGGGCTCGCTCACATTTTGTAGAGTGTTTCAGTTGAATCAGATAGATTTTGTAAAATGTTTTAGATCCTAAACTAGGTGAAGGAGCTAAATGATCCCTAGAGGATTATGACCTTAAAGTACAAAAGGTTGCATCGGATCTTATTTGCTTTAACCTTAGGATCAAAATCGATTCCTTTACTTGGAATTAAAGCTTTTTTTTTTTTTTAACTTCATAGATATATAGAAAATCTATCTTCATTTTACTTTATGCTTTGTCATCATTTAGGGTCCATTTGGGAGTCCGATTGAAGGGCTCCCATTGCATTGAAAGGTGCCCTTTATGGTTCCCTTAGTAAACGGCAAAGACCAGCTCCTTGTTAAATATATCTGGCTTCCTTTACATTATGATCATCCGAGTATTGAGCATGAGACTTGAGATGTGGTCAATTAAGTGGAAACTAAATGTCTCTGAATGGAATATCAAATCATCAGTGAATATGGAGAACGTTTTCAAATGATTGATATCAAAATCATGATGGGGTTTTCCCTAACCCTGCTTGTTTTAGAAGTCAGGTTGACTCTTGCACTGGGTTAAACCTTGCAATAGATTAGCCTTCATTCTTATACCAATTCATCGAGAGACTCACATTGCTGTCACCCAATTCTTGATTGGAATGTTTACTTATAAAATGATTGTAGATTTAAATATTTGAATATGAAGCTTAGATCAATTATTTTATGCAATCATTCTTAAGAAGTAACATTTAACATATCTGAAATTCGAATCTCAAACTCTTTGTAACTCCTTTTTTTCTTGAACTGTAGTCTCATTCGATAAATAAATTTATGATTGAGTTAATTCTTAACCAAAATTACGTAAATTAGTTACCATATTGCTCAATCTGTTTTATCAACAATCCAAATTGGTGAAAAAAATGACATACAAGTCAATTTCACCTACATTGCTGAATCACTTTATGATAGTTTAAAAGTTTTATAATATTACTAATGAGCTTATCTTGGTTGCAAGAAGAAGTTCTTGAAATATTGAAATCTCAAAGTTCAAGTTCCATTATTTTTAGATTTTATCAAATTTTATACTAAATTTGTTCAGTTTTATGTTGATCCATTAATTTATTATTATTATTATTGAAAAAAGAAAGAATTTGAATCTCATGTACTACCCCCTAAGTCATATGCTCTCAATTTGAGTATATTTTACAATTTGTGTATTTGTATCATGTAAAAAATTAATATTTCATATATTTATATCATGTTTTTATAAAAATTATATTATAATTCGTGTCAACACCAAAAATATAAAATATATTTTGTTATTTTCGTTAAATCATATATGTTTTTTGTTAAAATTTTAATTTGTATCATTTTTTATTCTTTTCAGTGTAGATCCAAATTAATTACTTGTACAAAATATCGAACCTATATATGTAAATATTCCTTTATCACAGAAATTAAACTTAAAGTAAGGTATATAACTTTCTTTAATTAAACTTATATATAACTTTCTTTTAATTTTTGCCCCCAAAAATTTCTTATAACTTCATCAATAACCTTAAATATGGGTTTTCATATGTAGCTGTACAGTTTGTGGTTTTTGGGTTTCTTTTATCATTAAACCAACATGTGTTTGATTTGAGTTATAGTTTTAATTTTCCTTTGTAAATGTCATGAATTCATCATCATTATTGCATGATATCTTTTGGTATTATTGTTGGGGCTGCTTCTACAAATTTCACCGCAACTTATAACAAAAAATCTCCACAAAGTATACGTATATTGTTTGTAAATTTGTGGTATAATTAACTTAAAATTTAATTTAGTTCATTATATTTTAAGATACCCGCAATGGCCTCAACACTTTTTAAACACTTTAATATTCATATGTATAGGATAGTTTGATTTTCAAAATTAATATAAAAATTATTAAAAACAAAATTTATTCACATTTGATGCTGTACCGCTTGAGTTCATAAAACATAATGTATAAAAAACATACCATTGAATTAATTATTAAATCACCACAATAAAAACAAGCATGGAAAACCATCTATGAAATGCAAGTAGACATAACTATGTACTACTCATACATACAAGCTGCAATAAGGAACTAATAAAGAACCAGCAAGCCTAACTAAACACAAAAAACCGTGTTTCTTAAGAGTACAAGAATTTTGCCAACAATCTCTTGGTCAAGTGATAAAAAGAGGATATATGAGACATGTAAGCTTGAGTTTGAGTACAAATATAAAAAAAAAAAAAATTCATGAAATTTGTCGTAAATGAATGACTAAACATGGCTTTATTTCACAATATCAAACATGCAAGTAAATGCAATGCAACATTAAGTAAATTAGTCCTTCACTGCAAAGTAAAGCTGAAAAAGCAAAGATCCAATCAATTGATGGCGCCATAAAACAGAAAGCTCGATTGAGGATAAGCACAATCAAGTATTAACCACCTATCATTGAAGCAAAGAATCGATAAGAATTTAAATAAAAAATTTGATTAAGGAAATCATAAATACAAGGCAAATTTAAAATTTTTGTCAGGGAGTGTTCGCTTATAATATATAAAACATTATCGACAAATTTATTAATTTTTTACATGAAAATGGTGTTCAAAAGAAAGTTTTGGATGTTCATGAAAATTTTCCTTTAAATTTTTTTTATTCTTTAATTTTTAGGAGTATCTGAAAAAAATTTCAAGGGTATCAACACAAAATTTTCCTTTTTTTTTTTTTTGTTTTTCAATGGACATCCCACAATACCATGTAAATCCGCCACTGTACATGGAAAGAAGCAATATTTACCTGCTTAGCTAACAAGTTTCTCCTGAATTTTTCACTTCCTCCTCGCATAACATTATTCTTGTTTCTCCCACAGTCATATATAGAGGTATTTTTCCGCCCCAGCTACGATACCAGCGTATATCATTGCAGGTGGATTGATTATCGACTATTTCTTCCATTGTGGTGAAACCTTTGGTTGTATTATTCTGAACTTGTTGGGGTTCCTTCATAACAAAAGACAATCTCATTAAGTACGTTATACTAGAAGTAATTATTAATTAATTATGCATATGACTTGTGTGTATATAAAAGAGTCATCCAATTCATAATAATATGTAGTTATATACTAACATAACTTTTGTTCCCATCAGCTTTTCATCATTAGTATCAATATGATCAAGAACAACAAATTAATTAATTAAGCATAATATTTAGAAAAAAAAGTATGTCAGGTACCTCTGTTATGGTAGGCACAGGATGTTTTGAACCCATGATGACACTTGTGGTCAACTTGGGAGATTTGTTTATGTCAAAACGAAACAAAGAAGGGAATCGAAAATGATAACCCATTGGAGCAAAACTCTTTAGGCTTGATAGCTCATGAAGACACAATACTTGAAATTTAGGGAGCACTATTCCCTTTTGATCATCTTCAATGTTTAGCCCACCTTGACACCCAAATACTTGCTCTAGTTTAGAAGCCCTTTTAATGTACATGTGCCGGAGGTTTGAAAGAGAACGAGTGGCACTAATAGGAAACAAGCTTTTCAAATTGCCACACCCAGAAATCTGTATCCATTGAAGACTAGGGAAGGATATAGGATGGAGATGACCCTGTGATGATGATGCTATTGAAGTTTGGTCCATTTCAATGATTTCTTGCAACTCCCCACAACACTCTATATCCAAAAATTTCAATTGCGGCAAATTTTGAGCAAGCATAGAAGAGAATAGAGATTTCAGCCTATTACAATTTAACACGTTTAAGTGTTTAAGATAAGGAAGGCTTGCAACTTGGATGGGACCTTGCAACTGATTTATATCGTCTAGATTTAAAACCTCTATCCTTGAGAGCAAGTGTCCGCCTTGAATTTGAAATGTGTTCTCCAAATTAACATTGTTGCACATGTTGTCTTGTCTCAATTCAGAGAATCGTAATTCCTATATAAATATAAAAATATCATAATTGCATTAAAATTTGGATAAATTACGATGGCAAAGAATATATTACTTCAAAAGTACAAAATCTATTTATAAATATATATATTATATTACAGAAGACAAAATTATCACATGAATATATATATATATATATATATATATATTACAAAAGACAAAATTATCACATAAGATATGCTGACATATATGTTTACATAGATAATCTTTTTATGACACATAGGATTATGTTTATATTATTATATTATTTATCAAATAACTTTATTTAACAAATTATTTAAATTTAATATTTTTGGATAATTATTTAAATTCAAATTAAAATCTATAAAAGATTAAAAATTTTACATAAATTTTTAATTCAAATATATTAAATCATAATTTATCCTTTCTTTTCAAATTTAGTCATAGTTCCAAATATATATGCTTAATAGATTTTTAGCTGCTGCCAAATAATTCTATTTAATAAATTATCTAAATTTAATATTTTTGGTTAACTATTAACTTCAAATCAAACTCTATTAGCGTTTAAAAATTTTACATAAATTTTGAATTTAAATATATTAAACTATAATTTATCTTTTCTTTTTAAATTTAATCTTAGTTTCAAATATATATGCTTAAAAATTTTTATCTGATGAAATTAGAATTTAAAATTGAAAATAAAAAGCTTATAAAGTAAGAGCATCGCTTGTGAGCAAGCTTATTTTTATTTGTTATTACTAGAATTAGAAATTGAAGAATACAAACCTTTTTTTTTTTTTTTTTGCTTTTACTTAGATGGTTATTATTCATTAGTTTTGATAAGAATGGATAAAAATTAAAGAAAAAAAAAGTAAACCACATTATACTATGAACAAGCAAGTTCATTTTTGCATTTATTATTCTTATATTTGTTTTATTTTATTTTATTTTTGTAAAAATAAATATGTGATAGTGTTGTATTGTTTTATTTTTTATATATATTTTTTGTTTTGATGATATTGATTTTTTTTATCAACTTTCAATAATGAAAAGAAAATGAGTTACATTTACATTGGTTTCAACTTTGTAATAAGTATGGTTCATTACTTTTTTCATATTTTATTTATTATTTATTTTTTCCATTTGTTTGTTTCTTCAAAGTTTTCATTTAGTCTTATTTCTATTATACGATATATACATTGAGATTTGATTTATTCTAAAAAAATTTTGATTTATATATTTTTATATATATTTAGTTAGGTTGGATATTTGCTATGCATAATTTCAAGAAATTTCAAATCTATATGGGTTCTCAATTCATATATTTGGTTTTTTTTGGTACATGTATCTTTGGTTTATGTTCTAATAAAAAGCAATATAGGTTAAAGTATGTCAAAAAAAAAGAAAAGCAAATGGTATGACCAAATTAATAATTATATTTTATTATTTAATCAAATATATATATATAAGAAATTATTATTATTATTATTTGATGTTTTATTTTTGGTTCAACTTTATAAGATTCAATAGTTTATGAATATTATACTAATATAAATGTTTTTTACAATTTGATAAAATAATATTTGTTGTATCTATATCAACATTATCATAAAAACAATTGTTAATCTTAACTATTTAAAGACTAAATCTTGTTTTTTTGAACAGTATATAGCAAAATTTTTTATGTTTAGCAGATAAATTGAATAAAAATAACTTTTTGATGAAAAATAAAGGATTTGCATAATTTTTGGAAATTTTGTAAAAGATTAGACTTTAAACGATATTATGTGTAGACTAGCATTTAATTGTGCACTAGCATTTAAGAATGTATGATTATATATAGCTGATCAATTAAAATTTACATATTCTTTATTAAAGAAATATAAGCAAGCAAAGTTAATTAAAATATGAAACTAATAAAAAACCTGTGCATGGCAAACTAATATATATGTAAAACAAATACCATTGTCATTTCCAAGGTTTAATTCTAAAGTACAAATTAAATATGTTTAGTTGATTTTCAAATTCTATTTATTGTATAAGCAAGTCAAATGTCAGTTAAATGTTATCCATGAGTGTCGCGTCATCAAAGTTTGCCTATATATATGCCACCAATTTGAGTTTTCCATCAAAATTGGGTTTTATTAAACTAAAGTATAGGATGGCTAAATTGCACACAATAACAAAGTAAGGGCTTAAGTGGTAAATTGATTATAATATAGTTAGAAAGCTTATTTTATTATTTTTCCATTGCTAAACGGAACATTTAAAAAAAATACAAGTTTAATTAAGTCTTGAATGAGTTGAACATAAAATATTGTTAAATATGAGAGTTGAACTTAAGTCTTGAATGATTTATTCTAATTTTTATAATGTAAAATTTACATAAAAACCCCTCTTTGAAAAGAGAATCAAAACATTGATTATTTTATGAGCAGAGAAAATATATGGGCCAAAGGCAACATTTTGAACCACAATAGAAGGAAAAGAGTGTACAAATACCTGTGGTTGAAGCTGTTTGTGGATTGCTTGTTGAATAATGAAATTTTCCAATTGAGGACAGCCCACAAGGATTAATTTTTCCAATGATGGTGAAACGATGGGATAGTTTTCTGCGCAGAAGCTACTCAAATTTATCAAGTTTCCAGGTTGTAGACATTGTAAGTGAGGAAGCACAATGGCATGATCAACTCCATTCTTTTCTTTTGCCACATTGAAGAGATATTGTAGTCTTGGACAAGCATGTATTTCAAGATATGTCAATTTTGGCAAGAGCAGGGGATGGAGAAGACCACCGTCTGATTCTATATTATCATCACTTTCCAACTCTGTGGCTATGCATTCCAGTTCATCACAATATTCTATCTTGAGTTGTTCTAGCATCACCAGGTTTTGAGCAAGAGATGGTGAGAAGAGATATTTCAATCTATTGCAGCGACTAATTTCTGCAACCTTGAGGCTTTGGAGGCAAACATAATGGCGCGGCCCTTTCCATATCCACTTCAATTCTGGTAATGATTCCAGCTCCAAACTTGTTAAATTTGACAGCAGTGGAGTAGTTGAGACATGGCCTTGATCTGTTGTATCAATCAAGCATTCCCACTCCTTGCCATGTTTAAGTGCAAGAAAAGTTAATTCATTTAGTCCCTCTGGATCTACGTTTGGAATGAGATTTTTGGGATATATGATTTCATCCGCTGTAAGATTTTTGGTATTGCATAACAATTCCTTGAAACCATATAATGAAACATCCTGATATAGAGGAAATAGCAGCAAAATTAGAAACATATAATGAGCTTTTCACTAAAAGTTTATTACTGTAAAAATTTAAACAATCCAAATTAAACTGAGTATAAATAGTACATAAGAAGCACAAAAGTGATACAAGTACAACAAGATAAAAATATGATTATACAATAATTTTTAAATATAAAGACAAGGAATAAAAAATATTTTTTTATCCATAAATTTTTTATATGAATATAAATTGGACACAACTATAAATTAATGATGTGTGTAAAAGTAAAATAAAATAAAATCGCAAACAAGAATAAAATTATATGGGAAAAAAATAAAAATAAAAATAAAAATAATTTTATTAATTTAATTTTTAACACTAATAGATTATAAAATATTAAACTTTTAAAATAATTTTACTTTTCCTTTTCTTTCTTTTCTTTTCATTTCTTTTTTCCTTATTTTTCTTATTTTTCTTCCTAAATTTTTTCTTTTTTTCTTTTTCTCCTTTTCGTTTCTTCTTTTCTTTTTTTTTTTTTTTAAATTTTTTCCCTTTCCCAAATCGCACCATTTAGGTGCTTTATAAATTCAAGAATAGTAATTATTGAATAATACATTATTATATAAATAATTAAAAAATACAAAAATTTTATAAGGTGTGTTAATAAAAAAATAATAATATAGTGTTAGTTTTCTCAATCTGTAAGCTGTGTAATAAATATACATTTAATTACACATTTTTCTTTTAAAATCCAACAGAAGCTAATTATATATAACACTATATAATACACTTACATGTAGATGTGAATGCACTAAAATTTGTCGCTTACGTTATGAGGTAAATAATTCAATTAATTATTACCAAAATAAACAAAATTGAAACAAAACGACAGTCTAAAAGAAGTACCTTTAAATGAGCCTGCAACGTCTTAATTCCTCGGTCAGTCAATTGAAGACAATTGCTAACTTCGATCTCCTTTAAAGATAACGACATGACAGAATTTTCTGAACAAAAACTATTCAACTTCTCTAAATTTTTAAGTCTTAAAATTTGTAATCTCTGTAGCACAATGTCTTGTGGTGGACGTCCATCCTTGTCCTTTGTCACGTCGAAGACATGCTCTAGTTGAGAACAATCAGTTATCTGAATAGATTCCAAATATGGAAGTCCTTGAGCCAAAGTGATTGGAAACACATATTTTAATCTTTCGCAATTAATTATCTTGAGAGTTCTCAACTTAGGCCAACAGAGAGGACAATCATCCATGTTTGAAACTATCTCATCCTCATTTTCTGCTTCTCCAAAGATTATATGTTCCATTGAGTCGCAATGGCTTATTTTGAGTTCTTCCAAATGCACCAAACTTTGAGCAAGGGGAGTTGGAAAGAGATATACCACCTTCAAACACTTCTCTATTCTCATAGTCTTCAGACTTTGGAGTTTAACAAGATGGATGGGCCCTTTCCATATCCACTTCAATTCTGGTAATGCGGATAGCTCCAAATAAGTTAAATCAGAGAGTGGGCGTACCTGACATGAATTCATTGATTGAAAATGTATATAAATATATTGACAAGACATACATACAAAGGTAATAATAATAATTATTGAATAATATATTATTAAATAGAGAATAAAAAAAGAGAAAAAATATAATGACTTTATAAAGTGTGTTAATAAAGAGAAAAAAAAGATACATGACGGTAGTTTTCTCAACCTGTAAGCTATGTAATAAATAAACATTTAAATTAATTACTAATATAATTTAATTAAACTTTCTTTCTTTCAAACTTAAACAAAAGTTAATTATATGAAGAATACATAAAATTTAATATTTTCTTACTATTTATTAAAAGAGAAATAGAAAAAGAAGAGGTACCTCAAGCTCAACCATTTCTTGAGAAAAATTAAAGATTTGCTCTAATCCTTCACAGAATTGTACGGAGAGTTGTTGCAGATGCAACAAACTATGAGCAAGGGGAGTTGGAAAGAGATATGCCAGCTTCAAACACTTCTGTATTCTCATAGTCTTAAGACTTCGGAGTTCAACAAGATGGGTGGGCCCTTCTTGTGGTGGACGTCCATCCTTGTCCTTTGTCACATCGAAGACATGCTCTAGTTGAGAACAATCAGTTATCTGAATAGATTCCAAATATGGAAGTCCTTGAGCCAAAGTGATTGGAAACACATATTTTAATCTTTCGCAATTAATTATCTCGAGAGTTCTCAACTTAGGCCAACAGAGAGGACAATCTTCCATGTTTGAAACCATCTCATCCTCATTTTCTGCTTCTTCGAAGACTATATGTTCCAAAGAGTCGCAATGGCTTATTTCGAGTTCTTCCAAATGCACCAAACTTTGAGCAAGAGGAGTTGGAAATAGATATGCCACTTTCAAACACTTCTTTATTCTGATAGTCTCTAGACTTTGGAATTTAACAAGATGGGTGGGCCCTTTCCATATCCACTTCAGTTCTGGCAATGACTCTAGCGCTAAATAAGTTAAATCAGAGAGTGGGCGTACCTGACATGAATTCATTGATTGAAAATGTATATAAATATATTGACAAGACAGACATACAAAGGTAATAATAATAATTATTGAATAATATATTATTAAATAAAGAATAAAAAAAAGAGAAAAAATACAATGACTTTATAAAGTGTGTTAATAAAGAGGAAAAAAAAATACATGACGGTAATTTTTTCAACCTGTAAACTATGTAATAAATAAACATTTAAATTAATTACTAATATAATTTAATTAAACTTTCTTTCTTTCAAACTTAAACAAAAGTTAATTATATGAAGAATACATAAAATTTAATATTTTCTTACTATTTATTAAAAGAGAAATAGAAAAAGAAGAGGTACCTCAAGCTCAACCATTTCTTGAGAAAAATTAAAGATTTGCTCTAATCCTTTACAGAATTGTACGTAGAGTCGTTGCAGATGCAACAAACTTTGAGCAAGGGGAGTTGGAAAGAGATGTGCCAGCTTCAAACACATGTTTATTCTCATAGTCTTAAGACTTCGGAGTTTAACAAGATGGGTGGGCCCTTTCCATATCCACTTCAGTTCTGGCAATGACACTAGCTCCAAAGAAGTTAAATTAGAGAGTGGCTGAACCTGACAATTCATTGATTGAAAATGTAAATAAATATATGGACAAGACATACATACAAAGGTAATAATAATAGTTATTGAATAATATATTATTAAATAAAGAATAAAAAAAGAAAAAAAATACAATGATTTTATAAAGTGTGTTAATAAAGAGAAAAAATATATATAATGTTAATTTTCTTAACCTGCAAGTCATGTAATAAATATATATTCTGATCAGTTACTAATATAATTTATTAAACTTTTTTTCTTTTAAACTTAAACAGAAGTTAATTATATGATCAATATATAAGGTTTCGTAATTTCTCATTATTCATTAAAGGAGAAATGGAAAGAGAAAAAGTACCTGAAGCTCAGTCATTTCCTGGGGAAAATCAAAGACTTGCTCTAATCTATTGCAGCGAGATATATCGAGTTCTTGTAGGTGCAACAAACTTTGAGCAAGGCAAGGCGGGAAGATGGATTTCAGTTCACCGCACTCCGAAATTCTTGCAACCTTTAGACTTTGGAGGCTTGCATGATATTGATGGGCTGATTGTAATTTCCATATACTCTCCAATTCTGGTAAAGAATTTAGACTCAAACTTGTTAAATTTGAAAATAGCGGCGTCTGACTAATTTCTCCCTTTTCAAGAAGTCCATCCATTTCAAATACCACTTTCAACTGCTTACAATAAATAATGGTTACATCGTTTAACTTTTGTAAGAAGCTAATCGGAGGTGGACCATGGCACAACTCTTTCAAACAAGTCACATTCCTCATTCTTAATTTCACCAAATTAGAGAATGCAGTGGTTGGTCCCTTCTCTCCTGTTGTATCCATCAAGCATTCCATATCATCGCACTTTTTAAGCTCAAGAGAAGTTAATTCATTTAGCCCCTTTGGATCTACGTCTGGGACAATATTTTTGTGTCCCATGACATTCTCCAGAGCCAACTTTTCCACGTTGTAAAACAACTTCTTGAATGCACTTAATGAAGATGCGAATTCAGTAATGTCCAAGGTTCTAAAGTTTAGTCCCTGCATAAATGGAAGATCTTCATTTACAGCTATAATGTACCTTTGTAGTTTAGGGAACACAAAGTTTTCTGGAAAACATTGAGCGGTAGAAACTATCATTGACAGCGCAGTCAAACGAGACAATGAATTCAGCTCCGATAAGTAAACATTGTTTTTACATGTCACGTGTAGCTCTTGGAGTGATGTCAACCTGTTTGTTACACATAAAGACAAAAGCCTGTTATCAAACACTTCAAGTGAATCATAAAAAATAGAAGTAAACATAAATTAATTTTAATTATCTCAACAAATATAGCTTGATTCTTCAGCATCTTTTCTTGTAAAACAAGGTTTGAGCATTTTTTTTTTACTATTTCGTAATTCGTGTGACAATCATGTTATATACTAGCATTTTTTAAAAATGGAAAGTACTACTGCTTTGAATGCTTCATAATAAAGGGAGTGATTAAAAGCTTATGGTAGATATGTTTCCCATAGTCTAAAATCAAATTACTTAATAAACTAAATAAAAGAAAAATAAATAACATAAAACTAAATACTTAATTTTGAGCAATATGATAAAAAAAAAATTGCATCTACTATTACCTTGATAGCAAGTTAGGGGGAAAATTGATCTGTTTGCTTCCAGAGTGAGAAAAATGAAGCGATTTTAGTTCATGCAATACTACTAATTCCTCAGGTAGCTCATAAATATTAGTATCAGAAAATGCAAGAATCTCAAGTTTTTCCATATTTCTCAATGATGAGATGTTCTCCAACTCGCAATTTACAAAGCACAATGTTCGAAGATCTGTTACGAATTTAAGTACTTCCAGTGAAAAACTGATATTTTCGAGATGTAAAACTCGAAGGGCCTTCATTCCTTTAACAACTGTACTCGAAATTCTCAAGAAATTCTTTCCTCTAAAAACCAAAATTTTGAGTTCTGAAAATTCCAATTTGTTGGGAAAATTGTTTATCTTGCTGTTCCAAAAAGAGATTGCTGTATAACATCCACAACTTTCACTTTTAGGCCATTCCGTCAACCCCTCTTTTACCATGAAAATATTTTTCTCCCTCAATGTTAACCAATGAGCAAAGTCACGAACCACGTCATGCATGCTTACATAGACTTCATTATCATAAGCACCTTCACGATCATCAATTTTCAATAACAAACCAGACTTTTGGAGTTTTCTTAGTGCGACACAAATTTCCATCCGGATGTGTTGAATTGAGTAAACATCAGAAAATAATCCATAACCAATCCCGAACATAATCAGCCATTCAACACCAATGTGAAAGTCTTCTGGAAAAAGGGAACACAACAAGAAACATGATCGAATGTCGTGTCCCTTTAAATGATCATAACTAAGCTTGAGGCGGTTGTACAAACCTTCACAAACATCTTCATTGTCTGAATGTCTTGAGTCCTTGAGTCTCTGATTTGCTGCTTTCCACTCATCTAGATCTTCACCACTTAGAGCTTTTGCGATTACTACAATTGCAAGAGGCAAACCCTTACATTCACGGGCAACCTCCTTGGCTACATCATTCAACGCCAAAGAAACATCGTTTAGACCAGCATTATCTTTGAATAAATCCCATGCTTCATCTTCGGACAAGATACCGAGATGAAATTTCTGACACTTCATGTGATCACAGACTTGTTCACTACGTGTAGTCAGAAGAATTTTGCAACCCTCATGTTGAACACCGAATGGAATACCTACAGTCTGCAATTTAAATTCATTCCAAACATCATCAATAATTATGAGGATCTTCTCCTCGCCTTTCAATCGCCGCCATAACTCTTCTGCTTTTCCTTCCTCCGTGCTTGCTTCAAATTTCAAACCTAATAATTCTGCAATTTTATCTTGAATTTTGTTGATGTCTGGCGTTTCGGACATTGTAGCCATTACAACTTTGTCAAAGAGCTTTTGTTCTCTAGCATGCTTCCCAACTTCTTTTGCCAAAGTTGTTTTGCCCACCCCTGGCATTCCATACAATCCGATCATGTTCACACCATTAGTGTTTAGAGCCCTGGTGATCTCATTGAAAGTTGAATTTGAAGATTCAGAAGGCATGAAATCGTTAGATGGGAAGAATTCTATCCCCTGAAGAGGAGGACGGTAGCCCATCCGTGGAAAGTTATAACTCTCAAGAAGTTTATTGATAGAGATCGTCTTCTTTGCCACTTTCATACTTAAGCAATATCGCCAACCCCAGCTTGGACACCAATTGAAACACTTCATACGTTCTATTTCAGCTTCCAAACTCTGGGTTTCTTTCAGTTCTTTCTCTGCCCTTTCTACCCAGTCCTGGACGTCCTCCTCAATGACCTCAGTTTGCCTTATAGCCTCATCGACATCATGTCTTATCCGATTTTTTTTTGATTGAAGATCTTTTCGCTTAATATTGAATTCTTTAGCAATTTTCCCAAATCGGAAAAAGTAGCTAACATAAGGTGATGCATATTCTGTTGTGAGGTTTCCTACACCATTGGCAGCAGTAGAGGCAGCAAATTCAGCAGCCATTCTTTGATGATCTGAGGTTGAAAAACAACTTTAATGATAGTAAACATATTAATAACTAGAGAGACAAAAGCAAGTGTGAATGTTTGCAAAGTACCTTAATCACTTTGGGATCGGAAAATTGTGAAGTAGAAGAGAACAAATTGTTGTTGGATCAACTTAGAAATTGAAAATTCTGCAGATGGTAGAAATTATTCAGTGTTCATGTGTATATTAAGAATATATGTTACATGTGTTAGAGTAAAGGCATAGTATATATTTTGATCATTAATCTATCTAACACATTCTCAACTTTTAAATAAATCTATTTATTTCACGTTTTGTCCTTATAAATGCAGTTTTTTGTTTAAATAAGACGGAAACAAACAAGTGAAAAACTTTTGAGCATATAAAAAATTATGAAAATAAAAATAATTATTTAAGCCTACCTTATTGGAAATGGACCTCATAAATTAAGCTGTGAGAACTTTTTACATCACCAACTCCGGAGATCCTTAGGAAAGGAGAATTAAGGATCAACCTTAATAGAAATTAAAAGAAAAAGGAAATAAAGATTAGCAGCAAAAAAATTATAAGAACATTGAATTATTATTTTTTTAGTTAAAAGCAAAAAATTACACTGCAATACTATTTTTGTTAGTTTTATTGTCAAAAGATAAACATAAAATATATATATTCAGTAATATCATCTATATCTATATATAAAAGTGTGAACTTCAAAACTGTTAATAATGATTAACTAAAATACCCTTATAAATTTTTAAATTAACAAATTCATATTTAAATATGTAATTTTTATTAATTTATTTAAATTTAATTTAAATCAACTAAAATTAAAAAAAAAGTTTATGAGAAATTAAACAACTTAAAATCCTAAAATTTTAATTTTAAGTGTTAAAAGTGATTGACAAAATATTTTTAGTAATTTTTTTATAATTTTTAATTTAATTTAATTTTTTATTATTATATTTTTTTTATAATTAGACTAAAAAATTACTAAAAGTGATTGAGACTGTTAATAGTGATCAACCTAAATATCCTTATAATAAAAATTTATCCTTAAATATATAACTTTTATTAATTTATTTAAATTTAATTTAAATAAACTAAAATTAAAAATAAAGTTTATGAGAAATTAAACTAAAAATCTTAAAATTTTAATTTTAAGTGTTAATAGTGATTGAATAAAATTTCTTTAGTAAATTTTTAAAAATTTTTAATTTAAATAAATTTTTTGTTATTAGACTTTTTTTATAATTAGACTAAAAATATACTAAAAATGATTCAGTAAACCCTTAATAAAATTTTAATTTAAAAAAATTAAGAGTAATTGATTAAAATACCATTAGTAATTTTTTATAAATTTTATTTTTAATATTAAACTCTTTTGTTATAATTTTAATTTAAATGAATTTTTTATTATTAGTCCTTTTTTATAATTAGACTAAAAAATTACTAAAAGTGATTGATATTGTTAATAGTGATTGACTTAAATACCCTTATAATAACAAATTTATCCTTAAATATATAATTTTTATTAATTTATTTAAATTTAATTTAAATCAACTAAAATTAAAAATAAAATTTATGAGAAATTAAACTACTTAAAATCTTAAAATTTTAATTTTAATTGTTAATAGTGATTGAATACAATATCTTTAGTAAATTTTTTATAATTTTAATTTAAATAAATTTTTTGTTATTAGACTTTTTTTATAATTAGACTAAAAAAATACTGAAAGCTATTGAGTAAACTCTTAAATTTTAATTTCAAAAATATTAAGAGTGATTGATTAAAAAACCATTAGAAATTTTTTTATAAATTTTAATTTTAAATGATTTTATTTTTAATATTAAATTCTTTTTTCATAAGTAAAAATGACTTTTCACATCAAATGAAAATACAAATAGGATAATATAAAAGCTTAATGTGTATAAGAATAAAACAATATGAAGTTTGTTTCTTTAGTTGTTGTAAAAATAATTATATATGCAGTTTATATTGATAACTAAATTCATTAAAAATAATCATAATCAAATCATTTAAGCATATTTTTTTTCTATTTTTTGCCTTTCAATTTTTTGTTTTAATATATTAACTACATATGCATGATAATGATTTTATTATTTATACGTTTTATGAGTTGATCATTTGATCGTTAATAACATAATTAAATCTTTTTAGTCCTTGAAATAATTTTTTAATATATCATTCTTACAATTTAGTATGACCTTTATAATTAATTTCTTTTTTATATATATTTTAAAATTTTAAAATTATTATTCCCATAAACAAAAACTAATATCAAATCAAATACAAATCAGTTGCACCCTTTTCGCCAATAATTAGCATTATGTATTTTGATTAAACTCTTTTAATTGAACTTTTCACTTATAGAATTAGATAATTTAAGAGAGAATGAAGCTACCAGTAGCTCAAGAATGAGTCATGTCAAGTTGTTATAAAAATTATTCACCTTGATTGAAACAATAATTGATTTAATTTTTTTAAACTTTTATCTTAATATGCTTATATGTAATTAATTTATATCTCAAGATTATTAAATCTTTATAAATTATATTAAATTGCTCTTTTTTTTTCTGTCGTTCAAGTGGTTAAACGACCTAACGCGAATTATTTTAAGTAAAAAAATTATCAAGTGAAGTAAAATTAATTGTTTTTGGTGAATTCATTTAAGATGTAATAAAATTCATTGGAACTATCTTTTGAATGTTTTTATATTAAAGTTACATTCATTCATGAAAATTTATTTGTTAATACTAAAAATGAAACCATTATAAATTGAATAAGTATTAGATAACAAGTTTGTTAATTTTAGAATTGAAATTTTCTTAATAAAACATGGTAAGTACAAAGATTAAGATTTTATTTTATCTTATTTTTTAAAATGATGTATTTTAATATTTTTATATAATAAAAATTTATATATAATAAATTTTTTAAATATAAAAAATTAAACTTTCAATTGATAGAACAAACAATTACGTTCAAATGAAAGAAGTATCAATGGAAAATTATCCTAAATCGAAATGAGAAAAAAGATTAATTAGTTATGCCTAACTCCATCTTTTCTATTTGATAAAGAAGTTTAGTGTTATATAATGTTCAATGACAAATATACAAATATATTGGTTTCAAATTTCTTTAGTATTAATATGAGACTTTTTTATTTGGAAAAAAATATTGTTTACTCTTTTATTTTCTCCTTTATGTCAGTTGAAAAATATTTATTGTTGTATTAAAATGTTTTAAAATTGTCATATTATGTAATATTTGTTCAAAAAAAATTAAAATTTATCGAATTAATTATCACCGTTATATTTAATATAAAAATATTAGTATAAACTATAATTTAACTAAACTTAAAAATGATTTAAAAGCATTCATCAACAAAATTTGTTTGATAAATCTTTAATTTATTTTGTATTTAGTATTTTAATCATTTTAATTTTTGATTTTCCATAATTTTTAGTTGAATTTTAGGTTTAGGATCAGTGACTAATCAGGTTGAGTCAAGTTTTATTATTTACGTCTATTCATAGTGTACTCAATTATTTACTTTTACTGCAACTGAATAAATTTGACTCATAATTAGTGCATATTTTTTCTTTATTTAAATAGTTGAATTCAAATCGTTCTAAATCCAAATAAAAAAGGTACACTCAATTACTTATAATTGTAATTTCATTTTAGAAATATTTTAAAATTAATTAACTAATTCAACCACAAAGACAATAAAAATAAGACATTGAGGATTAAGAAAAAAAATTTAAATAAGGAATTTTTAAATTATTACGGAAGATAAATAAGAAATATTATATTTTAATTGGGTTATTGTTTCAATTTGAATTTTAGTTATGTTCAATCGGGTTTTAAATAACTACAAAATTGTTGACTTTTAAAATCAATTGAAATCGAGTCAAGTTAGTTTATTTTTATAATTATGTATATTATATTTTTTAAAATGAGTAAAAATTTTATTTATACTCAATTTGAGTTTTGAATTATTTCAAGTTTGAATTAATTAATTCATGCTATTTTAGCTATATTTTTGTGACATTAAATAAAATTTCAAAATAGAATGAGAACACAACATTTTATAAATTTAAGTGCAAAATATAGAGATATTAATAATAATTAAAGAAGAAATCTTTATGTCCAACTTTTGCAGAGATTAAATCATAAATCTTTTTTTGAGGAATTTTAAATTCATATCGCATAAAAGTTAATCTAAATCAATGAGTTTATAATTTGTTGATGGAGTTGTGGTTATATGAGTTGAGAAGAACAATTCAAATATTTCATTTGACAGAAATATCATAATTTATACTCGGCCAAGAAGATAACATAGAGTTAAACATTATTTAATTTTCAGTGTTCATGCGCATATATATTAAGAATATATGATACATGTGCTAGAGTAAAGGTATATCAGTGTTCATGTGCATATATATTAAGAATATATGATACATGTGTTAGAGTAAAGGCATAGTATATATTTCCACGATTCTATCAAATATTTTCTCAACTTTGGAGAATAAAGTAGAAATGGTTTATTGGAGCATACCTCACTTGGGATGGATCGTCAAGAGCTATATGGACTTTTTACTTCACCAACTCCATAGATCAGTGAAGGAAATTCAAGGACCAGCCTATGTATGGATTTCATATATATGTCAATAAAATTAAAATAATAAAAAAAAAAGATAAGTATAGACCGAACCAATGAAAAAAAAAAAAAGAATTGAAACAAAAACGAGTACCTAATTTTTTTTGGTTGAGTTATAGAAAGAAGAGCAATGCAGAAATGAAACGAAGTGTCTGGCGCTGTAGCTAGCCCCAAGATGTGGGGATGATAGAAGACGATGGTTTGCTTCAATGGAACTGTTTGACGACTGATTATAAAGTAGTATGAGTAAGGTCAGCAACACAGAACAATAACATAAAAATAACAAAGAAATATGAACATTCAGGATCAAGATGGAGCCTTTTTTTTTTAATTCAAAGAAAATTAAAGTAGAAATCAACTTTACTTCAAATGAATAAAAAAAACTTCAAAGTATCCACATATATGGGGAAGTTCTTCTTGAAATCTGTATGACCAATTGGAAGGACAGAAAAAATTTTCGAGGAGATTCTCTTTTATAATTATTACTATTTTCTCTTTTTTTTAATTATTTAAATGATATTGATTTTTGCCGAATTTTAATAAAAATTAATTGTAATATATTTAATATCACATTTTAAAATTTTTTTATAAAATTAAAATTTCATGATTTTTAATATTTAAAATAAAAAATTTTAAAATAATTTGAAAATATAAAAAATAAAAATTTTAGATAATAAAAAGAAGATAATTTCGAGATATAAAAAAAAAAAAAAGAATGAGGAAGTATTATTTTTTTTCCTCATTCAAATCCTTAGAGGAAGACAGACAGCAAGACAACGGCCCAAACATTTTTTGCTTTTCTTGGGAACTGGGAGCCCCTACGGCTATAATATTCATAGAGTCTAGTTGGAGTTCAATTTCAATGTTCGAAGTTTAATTTAAATTGGATTGAATTTTAATTTTTAAATATAAATTTAATTTGAGATAAAATTAAATTTATTTATTGAATAAAATAAAATAAATTTTTTAATTTTAAATTCAATTATTTATTTTCAAACATAAATTTGAATTCCAATTAATGTATATAAATAAAATAATAATTTTTAATCAAATTATATTAAAATATAATAATTCAATTAAATTCATAAATTATTTAAAATAATTATTAAAATATCTAAATTCTACTCAATAAATTAAATTATCTGAATTTAAACTTAACTCAATAATATATGTATGGAATTAAAATTTTGTAGCTTACTGGGGTCTTTTCGCAATTAGAGCAATACCTTTTAAGTTCATACCTTTAATTATTTGTGGTCCTATGAATTTTTGAAGAAATCTGATATATATCATTATCACGATTGTCTGGTCTTCATAGCTTTTGCTAGTGGGACATGGCATCATTTATACACTTTTTAATTATTGATCCCTTTATTTTTCTCCTTTTTCAATTATTTTTCAGCAATAATTTTCTCACCTACACAGTTTTGTCGGTTTTCATGGATTGGATTTTGTATCAAATTATGCCCCATGTAGTGCAATTAGATTTAATGACCAACCAAACAAAAGAAAGGGTTAATGATTCTAAATCTCTTGTTTTATTTTCCCCCATTGATTCATCCTAACAGTTGAAAGAAGTAAATTTTTAGATTATCTTTGCTGATATGCTGCTTACAGTAATTTACCAGATTAAAATCTTAAGAGTAAGATTTTCTATTCTTTTCTATGGTAACAATCACTTGATAATTGATATTTGTACATGAATTTTTCACACAAAGAATTCCCCATCTCTAAGTCTCAAACCATTTTCTATTCTTTGATGATCTAAGGTTGAAAAACAACTTTAATGATTAGTAAACATACTAATAACAAGAGAGACAAAACCAAGTGTGAATACTTGCCAAGTACCTTAATTACTTTAGGAGCAATATATAACTCTATGAAAGTGTGAAGTAGAAGAGAACAAGTTGTTGATGGATCAACTTGGAAATTGAAATTTCTGCAGATGGTAGAAATTATTCAGTGTTGTATATTAAGAATATGTGTTACATGTGTTAGAGTAAAGACATATTATATATTTTGATCATTAATCTATCTAATATTTTCTCAATATTTAAACAAATCTATTTATTTCATTTTTTTCCTTATAAATGCAGTTTTTTATTTAATTAAGGTAGGGAAACAAACAAGTAAACAACTTTTGAGCATATAAAATATATGGAAATAAAAATAATTATTTAAGCATACCTAATTGGGGATGGACCTTCTAAATTAAGATCTGAGAACTTTTTACATCACCAACTTCAGAGATCATTAGGAAAGGAGAATTAAGGACCAACTAAATGAAAAAGGAAATAAAAATTAGCACCAATAAAATTATAAAAACATTGATTTTTTTTTTTTGAAGTCAAGAGGAAATCAGAATAGATATAGCATGAAACAAAATAGAAAGCAAATAAAGCAAAAAATTATACAGCAATACTATTTTTGTTACTTTTATTGTAGAGAGATAGACACAAAAAAATAAAAGATAAATATACCTAGAAAATATGAATGTTCAGGATCCAAGATGGAGCTTTCTATTTCGATCCACGCAATTTTTTTTTTTTCTGAGTTCAAAGAAAATTGAAGTAAAAACCAACTTTGTTTCAAATGAACAAAGAGCTTCGAGTATCCACAAATATTGAGAAGTTCTGCTGGAAATCTCTGTGACCTATTGAAACTACAAAGAAAAGTTTCACGATTGACTTGTTTAATTTCTTTGATTCTCATCATTATTACCATTTTCCTTGTTCAATTACTCAGCGGAAGACAACTAAACAAGGGGCCAAGCATCATGTCCTTTTCTTGACAATTGGGAGCAATGCGTTTAATTCACGCCAGTATTTTTTTGTGCTCATACGAATTTTTGAAGAATTATTGATGCGTGGGACATGGCATCATTAATGCAATTTTGAATTATTGACCCTTTATTTTTGTCTTTTTTTCAATTATTTTTCAACAATAACTTTCTCACCTACTTGTAAACATTGAATTTTATCTTAGTCTATATTTTTTAATAATAATATATTTTTTTTTAAAAAATAATAATAATATTTGTTTAATTATAATTAAAAAAATTAATTAATTAAAAAAAATTTTTAAAAAAGAAAGAAGATAAATAAAAAAATCCAAACAAAAGAAGAAACAAACTGGAAAGGGCTGGTACACGACACCCGCTAGCCACCCACGCCTTGCCACTACCCCAGCCATCATACCACCCCCTCGTCCAGTCCTTTCACTCCATCAACACACGCAACCACCGTTTCTAACCTTATAAAATACTTGATCTCCCATCTCTAAAACTCTCGGACACCCTTCACTCGACAATACCAGATATATGCACATTCCACTCCTATCAAAAACCTCTCAGACATGAAAAAGAAAAAAATGAAAACAACCCCCCAAATACCCAAACAAATCTATGAAAATACAAAAAAAAACAAAACACAGTTCTCCCCGCAGAGATGAACCCATCGTCGAGTCACCTACACCAAGAAAGAAGGGTATCTGTTAGTTTTCAAAAAAAAAAAAGAGAACGAAAAAAATACTGAAAACTTCAAAATCCGATCTACACGAATCAAGATCGTTTTTCGATGAAAGAAGCACCAGATCTGAGCTCAAGAGGTTGAACGGAACCTCCTGGTCAGTTTTGAAGTTTTCGACCACCAACAACCACCACCGACGGTGAACCAGGCAACGGTCGGCGCGGCATTCCAGCTACCGGACGGCGAGAGCCCGGAGCTCTTCCCCAGAGCTCTCTCTCTCTTTTTTTTTTTTTTTGAAACGAAAGGAAAATGAGCTGAACAAAAAAAAATTTATATAGAAAGTAATCGCCCAAAACGATGTCGTTTAGGCCAAGAAGGATCCGTGCGTTGACCCAAATCCGACCTGGGATCCGCGCAACCTGACCCGTTGACCTGTTCTTTTCCACAGTTGCTGACCGGTCCAATTGAGTCGGACCGAACCGCTCTCTAGACTGGTCCGAAACATTCCTCAACCGGCTCAACCGAACTGTGCGTCGAACCGACCCCTTTTTGGTCCAACCGAACCGTCGTTGACCGGTCCGATTTAGGTAAATTTGTTTTTTTTAATTTTCTAATTTTTTTATATACTATTGTTTTTGTTATTTTAAGTATTTTTTTTATATATTTATGCATGATAAGTTTTAAATTTGTTAGGATAAGTTTTTTTAATTGTTTTAATAATAATAAAAATGAAAATAATAGGTAGTGATTAAAAATATATATATTAAAAATGCTTAAAAAGTAAAAACAATAATAGAATAATTATTATTATTTTCTCTACCTAGATGTTGGATGGAATAAAAAAATATATTTTCTTAAAAATAATTTCGCCTAGATGTTAGAGAATTATTATTATAAAAATACTAAACAAGTTAATAATTTTGATAATAAGTTTTCATAAAAAAGGATTTAAAAAAAAAACTTTTTAAAATATAAAAAAATTTATGTTTTTTAAATTAATTTTCAAAAATTACTAAAATCGAACTTGTTCCGAAAATTTACCTAGATGTTGGGGATTTTTAGAGATGTTCGTATTTTCTTAAAAACGAAACCTTAAACACTAATTTTTAATTTTCAAAATCCTAGGTTTTTAAACCCTAAAAATCTAAAATCCAAAAATCTTAAATCCTAAAATCTGAAACTCCTAAAAATCCAAAATCTCAAACCTTTAAACTCTTAAATCCAAACCCCTAAAATTCAAACCCTTAAATAAAAACCCCAAACCTGAAATTTTAAAATCGAAACCCTAAAATCTTCAAACTTTAAAATAAAAACCCTAAACCTTCCAAACTTTAAAACCAAAACCTAAAACACTCAAAACTTAAATCAAACCCTTAAAATCTGAATCTTCAAAATCTTGAAACCCTAATCTTGAAAACCTCTACCCAAGCCCTTACTCAAAACATCCTAAAAATCCTAAGGACACATGTGAAAATTTCATTTGAAGCAATTTGTTCCTGAATGCTGCCTAGATGATGGGGTATTTAAGAAATTTTACTTCGTAAAGTCTTTTCACATGATTTCTTAATTCATATTAATAATAAGATTAATAAATAAAAAGTATAACAGTAAATTGGGATCTTAAATATAAAATAGTCGCACCTAAGCTCTGCCTAGATGTTGGAAAGTCAGGGTGGCCTCGTTATACTTTAGAATCCAACTTTTAAATTGTATCTCATCCTACATAACATTCATTGGCATACATACGTTAGCATGTTATTATCAGTAATTATTTACACTATTCTGTCTCTAATTTTTATTTACTACTTGGTGATAAAATTTTTATAATAAAAAAAGAATAATACTTTTAAATAATTTTGTGATATTACAAAATAAAATAAAAATAACATTCTAAAAGAAATAATTTTTGGTACTCTGCCTCAATGTTGGAGTGTCACCAATAATTTTTTATAAAGAGTGTTATTTCATTTTAAGGATTGTTATGTTAAATCTTAAGTGAAAAGAGTTATTTTAAATTCTGCTTAGAAGTTGAAGAATTTTAAGATAATTCTTTAACTTAAAGATTTTCTCAATATTTCTAAATAAAAATTTTAGCAAAAATATTTTTTAAAACGAAGGGAATTAGTATTAAATTTTAAGTCAAAACTATTTTTATCTAACACTGAAAAAAGCGCATAATTAAATGGTATTAATTTATGGGCGTTGTGGGGATGCTAATCCTTCCCTACACGTAACCGACTCCCGAACCCAACCTGATTTTCGTAAACCAAAATTTATGTTTTTAATAAATTTTAAACCCATTTTTACAGTTTTATTAAAAAAAATAAACTTTTGGGTGACCAATCACACCCTAACAAAGATTGGTGGCAACTTCCCTTTCATTTACTTTGATTTTAAAACTCTTTTACGTCTGGCGATCCCAGAGCCGTTACGACATTACTTTATTTTCTTGGGTTTCTTGGGATTAGATTCCGCATCAAATTATGTTTCGTATGATAAAAGATTTAAGGTTAAATTATTTAGGAGGTTTTTATATTTTACAAAAACTTAAAATTTAATTTTTTATATAAATTTAATTTTTTATTATTTTGATTTGATAATTTTAATTCAATTATTAATTTTTTTGTTAAAAATGTTGATGTAAGTGTTAACTTGATGATATAGATATTAATCTTACTGATGTAATATTAATTTGCTAACTTGACAATTAAGATAGATGAAATTAATTGTTAAATTATACAAATCGTATCTATACTCACATGAAATTTGAAATTTAGTTTCTGTACTAATACAAAATTTAAAATTTAGTCTATATGCTATCGTAAGTTTTGAAATTTAATCTCTCTAATATAAAAAATATTTAAATTTTTTTTAGTTTTTTAAAAATATTAAAATTTAAAAATTACCACAATATTCTGTCATAATATTCTATCACAATATTAAAAAATCTATTACAATATTCTATCACAACTTTTATATATTATCACTAAATCCATCACAATTTTTTGTCATCCATGTGAAATTCTTTACTAATTCTATCATTATTTCTTGTTACATTTTATCATAAAATATAAAATCTGTTACTAATTTTATTACACTTTTTTGCCACAATGATAGTATATTGTGGTCATATGGAAAAAAAAATCTTAAACAAATCTATTAAAAATGTATCATAAAATTGTCAATATATGATACAAATCTATCATTATCTAATTTTAATAAAACTATTTTTTATTAATTTTTTAAAATGAATTAAAATTATAATTCCATTCCATAAAGGTAAAATTATCCACCAAATAGTTTTTCTATTTCTTTAAATTAAACTTATTTAAATAATTTCTTATAATAAAATCTAGGTTCTAGATTCTAAATATATTAAGGTAATTTACTAAACTAAATGTGTATTGGTTTTAGAATGAATCTATTATATAATTTAACATAATTATTTAGATATATAAGTTTTTTTTTTTTGCGATGACCTCAAAAAGGTTTTTATTATTTTACACGATATTGATATTTCAATTTATCAAATAAATTATTTTCTCCTTTTGTCGTGTTAAGATTCAAAATTCATCCTTCAAATTGATGGAAACTCATCCCTCTTAAGAATTTAGATTTAAATATCTTATTTTGTTTGGTTAGATGAAATGGCCACCATTCCATTCATAATCTATTTTGAGTTCATTACAAATGTAGCACTATTCAATAGTTTTATTCATTATAAATTTTGTTATATTATATGTTTAAGCTAATTAAAATAATATTAACTTTGCTATATTAATATAAATTATTAATGTTATAATTAATATAAATGATAATAATAATATTAATTATTAATTAATACTATTATTAATTAATTAATTATATATAATAAAAAAATAATATATTTCCTAAAAAATTTTTTTAATATTAGATATTAAAATATTTTTTAAAAAAAATTTTTCTAAAAATTAAAAAAAATTTATTAATGGATTAAATTTTAATACGTGTCATTTATAATTAAGTACATGACCACTAGCATAATTTACTATTGATTTACATCCATTTAAATTGTCAAATTGCAATCATAATCTATAATTAACTAATAATTTCATCCATTAAAATTTTGTCACATCAAAAAGTCAATATAAAAATAAATTTAAGAAAAAAAATTAAAACACCAAATTCTGTAAATTAAATTTGTTTTGAAAATATAAAAAAAAGCTGAAATATATAATTTTTTTCTTAAATAAAATTTTGAATAATTAAAAAAAAGTTGAGATATCAATTTTTTTCTAAAATTTTGAAAATTGAAGGAATTTAAGAATAAATTTCAATATAAAAATGTTTTGAGATTTTCTTAGATGTTTTTAAAGCTTAATGGATAACACAAAATCAATTAATATTATTTTTTAGATGGATGTTATAGGTGTGCTATATCATTTCTTGAATGTAATTGTAATATGATTTCATAAAACAGAATTTATTCTTTTAAAAGACTTGAGTTACGTTTAAGATCTTTTTAAAAAAAAGATAAATTTGGTTAAAAAAAAATTGATTACAATTCTATAATTTTATATTTAATAATCAAATTTACGTATTTATATATTACAAGAAATATATCTAGAAAATATGAATTTTCAGTATCAACTATTTCTTCCATTGTGGTGAAACCTTTTGTTGTATTATTCTGAACTTGTTGTGGTTCCTTCACAACGAAAGACAACTCTCATTAAGTAATTTATGGTAGAAGTAATTAATTAATTAATTAATTATGCATATGACTTGTGTGTATGTAAAAGAGTCATCCAATTCACAAAAATATGTAGTTATATACTAACATAACTTTTGTTTCCATCATCGGTTCATCATTAGTATCAATATGATCAAGAACAACAAATTAATTAATTAAGCATAATAGTTAGAAAAAAAGGCAGTTAGGTACCTCTGCTATGGCAGGCACAAGATCTTTTTGAATCCATGATGACACTTGTTGTCAACTTGGGAGATTTGGTTATGTGAAAATGAAACAAAGAAGGGAATCGAAAATGACAGCCCATTGGAGCAAAACTCTTTAGGCTTGATAGCTCATGAAGACTCAATCCTTGTAATTTAGGGAGCACTATTCCCTTTTGATCATCTTCAATGTTTAGTTCACCTTGATACCCAAAGAGTTGCTCTAGTTTAGAAGCCCCTTTGATGTAGATGTACCGGAGGTTTGAAAGAGAACGAGTGACACTAATGGGAAACAAGCTTTTCAAATTGGTGCACCCAAAAATAGTTATAAATTCAAGACTAGGGAAGGATATAGGTTGGAGATGACCCTGTGATGATGATGCTATTGAAGTTTGGTCCATTTCAATGATTTCTTCCAACTCCTCACAATACTCTATATCCAAAAATTTCAATTGCGGTAAATTTCGAGCAAGCATACAAGAGAAGAGACATTTCAGCCATTACCTTTTGACACGTTTAAGCGTTTAAGATAAGGCTTGCAATTTGGAGGGGACCGTGCAACTGATATATGCCATTTAGATTTAAAATCTCTATCTTTGAGAGCAAGTGTCCCCCTTGAATTTGAAATATTTTCTCCCAATTAATAGTGTCGCACATGTTGTCTTGTTCCAACTCAGAAAATCGTAATATCTGTATAAATATAAAAATATCATAATATCATTAAAATTTGAATAGATTACAATGGTCAAAGAATATATTACTTCAAAATTACGAAATCTAATCATATATATATATATTATTGTATTATATTACAAGATACAAAATCATTATATAAGATATGCTAATATGTCCGCTTAGGTAGATAATATCCCTCTATAATAAGTAAGATAATGTTTATATTATTATATTATTTATCAAAAAACTATATTTAATAAATTATTTACATTTAATTTTTTGGTTAATTATTTAAAGTCAAATCAAAATCTATAAAAAATTAAAAATTTTGCATAAATTTTAAATTCAAATATATTAAATCATAATTTATCTTTTCTTTTAAAATTTATTCACAGTTCCAAATATACATATGCTTAATAGATTTTTATCTACTATCAAATAATTCTATATAATAAATTATTTAAATTTAATATTTTTGGATAACTATTTAAATTCAAATCAAACTCTATAAAAAATTAAAAATTTTACATAAATTTTGAATTTAAATATATTAAATCATAATTTATCTTTTATTTTTAAATTTAATCATAGTTCCAAATGTGTGTGTATATATATATATATATATATATATATGTTTAATGCATTTTTATCTACTATCAAATAATTCTATTTACTAAATTATCTAAATTTAATATTTTTGGGTAGCTATTTAAATTTAAATCAAACTCTATCAAAAATTGAAAGTTTACATAAATGTTAAAATTAAATATATTAAATTATAATTTATCTTTTTTTAAAAATTTAATCATCATTTCAAATATATACACTTAAAAAATATTTATATGATGAAATCAAAATCTAAAAATGAAAATAAAGAGCTTATAAAGTAAGAGCATTGCCCCCTAGCTAAGGTTATTTTATTTGTTATTATTAAAACTAGAAATTGAAGAATACAAGCTTTTTTTTTTACTTGACAGTTATGATTTATTAGTTTTGAAAGGAAGTAGAAAAAGTTACAAAGATGAATAAACTACGTCATGTTATGAACAGGTAAGTTCATAATATATATTTAATCATATTGATTTTTTATCCGATTTCAATAATGGAAAGAAATGGGTATATATTTGGATTGGCTTCAACTCAATAATAAGTATGGTTCACTACTTTTTTTTTCATATTTTATTTATTTTTTATTTTTTATTTCCACCATTTGTTTGTTTCTTCAAACTTTTCATTTGGTTTTATTTCTATTATACAATATAAACATTTAGATTTATTTATTTAAAAAAAATATCCAATTTATATATTTTTATATATATTTAGTTAAGTTGGATATTTGCTATACTAATTTCAAGAGATTTCAACTCTATATACATTCTCAATTCATATATTTGGTTTTTTATACATTTATCTTTGGTATATGTTTTAATAAAAAGCAACTATATATGTAAAGTATGTCAAAAATAAAAGCTAATAAAAAGCAAATGGTTATGACCAAATTAATAATTATGCTTTATTGTTCAATCAAATATATATATAATAATTATTATTATTATTTGATGTTTTATTTTTGTTCAACTTTATAAGATTAATAGTTTATGAATATTAGTTTATGAATATTCTACTAATATAAATGTCTTTTACAATTTAATAAATGATATATATTTTTTATATCCATATCAACTTTATCATAAAAATAATTATTAACCTTGACAATTTAAAGGATTAAATCTTTTTTTTTTTAACAAACAGTAGAAAATTTTTTATGTTTAACAAATGAATTGAAAAAAAAAAATTTTTTTATGAAAAAGAAAGGATTTGAATAGTTTTTTGAAAATTTGTAAAAGATTAGAATTTTAAACGACCATATGTGTAGACTGTCATTTAATTGTACCTTAACATTTAGGACTGTATGATTATATCTAGTTGATCAATAAAAATTTACATATTTTTTATTAAAGAAATATAAAAAATTAAAGCTAATTAAAAAAATTTAAATTATGAAAATAATAAAAAAAGATAGTATATATGTAAAACATATGTATTCTCATTCCCAAGGTTTAATTCTAAAGTACAAATTAAATATGTTTAATAGATTTTCAAATTCTATTTATTTTATAAGCAAGTGAAATGTCATTTAAATGTTTTCTAAAGTACAAATTAAATATGTTTAATTGATTTTCAAATTCTATTTATTTTGTAAGCAAGTGAAATGTCATTTAAATGTTTTCCATGAGTGTCATGTCATCAAAGTTTGCCTATTTATAGGCCACCAATTTGAATTTTCCATCAAAATTGGGTTTCATTCAACTAAAATAGTAGGATGGCTAAATTGCACACAATAACAAAGTAAAAGCTTAACTGCAAATTTGATTATAATATAGTTAGAGAGCTTATTTTATTTTTTTGCCATTACTAAACAGAACAAGTATTTTTTTTAAAGAAAAAGTTTAACTAAGGCTTGAATGAGTTGAACATAAAATTTTGTTAAAGATGAGATTTGAACTTAAGTCTTGAATGATTTATTCTAATTTTTATAATGTAAAACCTACATAAGAATTCCTTTTTGAAAAGAGATTCAAAACACTGATTATTTTATGAGCATAGAAAAGATTTGGGCCAAAGGCAGAATCTCGAACCACATTTAAAGGAAAAGAGTGTAAAAATACCTTTAGTTGAAGCTGTTTGTGGACTACTTGTTGAATGATGAAATTTGCAAATCGAGGACAGACCAGAATGATTAACTTCTCCAAGGATGGTGACTTGATGGGATAGTTTTCTGAGAAGAAGCTACTCAAATTTATCAAGTTCTTTAGTTGTAGATGTTGGAGGTGAGGGAGCACAATGGCATGATCAACTCCATTCTTTTCTTTTGCCACATTGAAGACATGTTTTAACTGAGGAGAATTAGTTATTGAAACTGATGTCAACTGTGGTAAAACTTGAGCCAACGGAATTTGAAAAACATATTCTAGTTTTGGACAAGCATGTATTTCAAGAGATGTCAATTTTCGCAAGAGCAGAGGATGGAGAAGGCCACCGTCTGATTATATTATCATCACTTTCCAATTCTGTGGCTATGTATTCCAGTTCACGGCAGTATTCTATCTTGAGTTGTTCTAGCATCACCAAGCTTTGAGCAAGAGATGGTGAGAAGAGATATTTCAATCTATTGCAGCAAATAATTTCTGCAACCTTGAGGCTTTGGAGGCAGACATACTGGCTTGGCCCTTTCCATATCCACTTCAATTCTGGCAACGATTTCAGCTCCAAACTTGTTAAATTTGACAGCAGTGGTGCTTGATTTTCTTCCATATCATGAAGAAGCTCGTCTGTTTGAAATACTTCTTGCAACTGACCACGATCAACAACTCTCACTTTCTTGAGATTTTGTAGAAAGCCCTTTGGAAATGGACCGTTGCACAACGTTTTCAAACCAGTCATTTGTTTTATGACTAATTCCATCAAATTGAAGAAGGCACCGGCTGAGTCATAGCCTTGATCTGTTGTATCAATCAAGCATTCCAACTCCTTGCCATGTTTAAGTGCAAGAAAAGTTAATTCATTTAGCTCCTCTGGATCTACGTCTGGAATGAGATTTTTGGGATACATGATTCCATCCATAGTAAGCTTTTTGGCATTGCATAACAATTCCTTTAAAACATATAATGGAACATCCTGATAAATTCACAATATAATGGAAGATAGCAACAAAATTAGGAACATATAATGGGATTTTTGTTATTAGGAAAGAAATATTTCAGTCAAAAGATTATTTTTATCCCTCCCATTGTATAAAAAATTTATTACTATAGAAATTTAAACAATCCAAATTACGCTGAGCATAAATAGTACTTAAGAAGCATGGATAGTGACACACAATACAAGTATGATATGACATGGACATGGCGATATAATAATTTTAAAAATAGAGGACACTGATATAGAAGGAAACAACAATACAAAATATTTTTATATATATTTTTATCCATAAAATTTTTATATGAATTTAAATTGAACACAATTATAAAGTAATTAATGGTGTGTGTAAAAGTGAAATAAAATAAATTTATAAACAAGATTAAAATTATATAGGAAAAAATAGTCAATATAATTATAATTTTATTAATTTAATTTTTATTATTAATAGATTATAAGATATTAAACTTTTTAAATAATTTCATTTTTCCTTTCTTTCTTTTCTTTTCTTCTCATTTTTTCCTTCTTTTGCTTTTTCTTCTACATTTTCTTTTTTTCTTTCTTCCTTTTTTCTTCCTCTCGCTTCTTTTTTTCTTTCTTTTTTTTTTCCTTTTTCCCTTTCCCAAATTGTACTGTTTAGGTGTTTTATAAATCCAATAATAATAGTTATTGAATAATATATTATCATATAAAGAATAAAAAAACAAAAAAACATAAAAAGATTTTATAAAATGTGTTAAAAAAAAAGAAAAAAATTTATACAGTGTTAGTTTTCTCAATCTGCAAGTCATGTAATAAATATACATTTAATTAAACTTTTTCTCTTTTAAACTTCAATAGAAGCTAAGCTAATTGTATATAATACACTTACATGTAGACGTGAATGTACTAAAATTTGACATTTATGCTATGAGATAAATAATTCATTTAATTATTACCAAAATAAACAAAACTGAAACAAAACGACAATATAAGATAAATACCTCTAAATGAGATTGCAATATCTCAACTCCTTGGTTAGTCCATGGGAGACAATTGCTAATTTTGACCTCCTTCAAAGATAGTGACACGATAAAATTTGCTGGACAAAAACTGCTCAACTGTTTTAAATTTTTAAGTCTTAAAATTTGTAATCTTTGTAGCACAATGTCTTGTGGTGGATCTCCACCCTTGTCCTTTGTCATGTTGAAGACCTGCTTTAGTTGAGAACAATCAGTTATCTCAACAGATTCCAAATACGGAAGTCCTTGAGCCAAAGTGATTGGAAACACATATTTCAGTCTTTGACAATTAATTATCTTGAGAATTCTCAACTTAGGCCAACAAAGAGGATGACCATCCAAGTTTGAAACAATCTCATCCTCACTTTCTGCTTCTTCGAAGATTACGTGTTCCAAAGAGTCGCAATGTCTTATTTCGAGTACTTCCAGATGCACCAAACTTTGAGCAAGGGGAGATGGAAAGAGATATGCCATTTTCAAACACTTCTCTATTCTCATAGTCTTAAGATTTTCAAGTTTAACAAGATGGGTGGGCCCTTTCCATATCCACTTTAGTTCTAGTAATGACTTTAACTCCAAAGAAGTTAAATTAGAGAGTGACGGTACCTGACATGAATTTATTGATTGAAAATGTAAATAAATATTAACAAGATATACATTTAAAAAAAATTACGTGGATTTATATGTGTTGTCGCGAAATAATATTTTTTTGTTTTGCCATCCATATTCATTGGTTTTTTTTTTTTTTTTTTTGCAAATTTACCTATTAAAGAAAAGGCTAAAGGTAAAAAAAAAAAAAAGCTAGTAACATGTAGATATTTTAACTGACCTCATTTCTTATAAAATTCATCTAATAAAAAATAAAAATAAAAAAGTGAAAAAAGACAATAAAAGAAGAAAAAATTAAAAAAGAAGAAGAAAATAGCACATAAAGGATGCCACATGAATACTTCATTGAGCTTAAAATATTAATTTTTAAAATTAAAATATCAAATAATTTTATTGATATAGTATATATAATTAAATTAACAATAAATATATAATTTTATATATACTCTGAAACGGATCGAAATAAAGCACTCTAACACACTTACATCTTGATCCCATTTACCTTAAAAAAAAACGTAACCTATCACAACTAGATAACAATTAAAAAAAAAACTTCCTATTGGATTGGGATGAATCAAAATATGTCATATATAAATTGTTTTGGGTTATCCATTTATTGACACATTTTGTTATAAATGTTGTAAGTTTTATCTAATTAAAAAATATAAAAAGGTGCCACGTTAATACCTTTTTGAAAATAAAACAAAAATAAAAATGAGTACAATTTATATAATAGATGGATTGATTAAATCTTAATTATGTATAATATAATATTTTTATTAAATTAATATATTAAATAATAATATTATTAATATAATGCATATATAAAATTAAATAAATAATTAAAAATATAATTATATATATTTGAGATAAGTCAAAATACTTTAAGTTATCCTCTGACCAAATCCCGATTTTAAAAAGGAAAAACCTTGACTTGACCTCAAATTTTTTTAAAACCCTCACATATTGGATGGGAACAAATTGAAACTCTTGAGATATGAGTTATTTTAATATCTTCACATTTACCGATTTTTTAAAAAAATTTATCTAATTAAAAAAATAAAAAACAAAAAAAATGACAAAACAATGAGCCAAATGGGAATGCCACATTGATTTATCAAATTAACATATTAAATATTAACTTTATTAATATAATACACATATAAATATAAAATTAAATAAATAATAAAAATATATATATTTATATATCTGTGGGAGAGACGAAACTTTAATCAATAATATCTAATGAGGCCTATAAAAAAATTAAAATATAAAAATATTTATTAAATATAAAAAGAAAAATAAATATAAAAAATATTTAATTAAAAAATAAATATAAAAAGAAAGTATGTAGTTATTGAATAATATGTTATAAGATAAAAAAATATATTAAAAAAAAAGAAAAAAACCTTAGAAATATTTTATAAAGTGTGTTATTTTTTCTCAAGTTGCAAACCATGTAATAAATATACATTTAATTAAACTGTATTTCTTTTAAACTTCAATAGAAGCTAATAATATATAATAGTTTATAAAATACTTATACGTAGATGTTAATGTACTAAAATCTGACATTTATGATAAATAAATCAATTAATTATTATCAAAATAATCAAAATTGAAACAAAACGACAGTGTAAGAGAAGTACCTTTAAATGGGCCTGCAACACCTTAAGCTCGGTCAATTGGGGACAATTGCGAACTTTGAACTCCTCCAAAGATAGTGACCTGACAAAATTTCCTGGACAAAAACTGTTCAACTTTTCTAAATTTTTAAGTCTTAAAATTTTTAATCTCTGTGGCACTATGTCTTGTGGTGGACGTCCACCCTTGTCCTTTGTCACGTCGAAAACATGCTTTAGTTGGGAACAATAAGTTATCTCAATAGATTCCAAATACGGAAGTCCTTGAGCCAAAGTTATTGGAAACACATATTTCAGTCTTTTGCAGTTAATTATTTGGAGCGTTCTCAACTTAGGCCAGCAGAGAGGATAGCCATCCATGTTTGAAACTATCTCATCCTCATTTTCTGCTTCTCCGAAAATTACATGTTCCAAAGAGTTGCAATGGCTTATTTCGAGTACTTCCAAATGCACCAAACTTTGAGCAAGGAGAGTTGGAAAGAAATAAACCAGTTTCAAACACTTCTGTATCCTCATAGTCTTAAGACTTTGGAGTTTAACAAGATGGGTTGGCCCTTTCAATATCCACTTCAGTTCTGGCAATGACTTTAACTCCAAAGAAGTTAAATTAGAGAGTGGCAGTACCTGACATGAATTAATTGATTGAAAATGTAAATAAATATATGGACAAGACATACATACAAAGGTAATAATAGTAGTTAATGAATAATATATTATTAAATAAAGAATAAAAAAAGAGAAAAAATTCAATGATTTTATAAAGTGTGCTAATAAAGAAAAAAAAAGATATATAGTGTTAGTTTTCTTAACCTACAAGTCATGTAATAAATATACGTTTAGATTAATTACTAATATAATTTAATTAAACTTTCTTTCTTTCAAACTTAAATAAAAGTATATTATATGATCAATATATAAAGTTTAGTATTTTCTTATTATTTATTAAAAGAGAAATGGAGAGAGAAAAGGTACCTCAAGCTCACCCATTTCTTGAGGAAAATCGAAGATTTGCTCTAATCCTTGACAAAATTGTACAGAGAGTTGTTGCAGATGCAACAAACTTTGAGCAAGGGGAGTTGGAAAGAGATATGCCAGCTTCAAACACTTCCTTATTCTCATAGTCTTAAGACTTCGGAGTTCAACAAGATGGGTGGGCCCTTTCCATATCCACTTCAGTTCTGGCAATAACTCTAGCTCCAAAGAATTTAAATTAGAGAGTGGCTGTACCTAATATAAATTCATTGATTGAAAATGTAAATAAATATATGGACAAGACATACATACAAAGGTAATAATAATAGTTATTGAATAATATATTATTAAATAAAGAATAAAAAAAGAGAAAAAATACAATGATTTTATAAAGTGTGTTAATAAAAAAAAAAAAAAGATATATAATGTTAGGTTTCTCAACCTGCAAGTTATGTAATAAATATACATTTTGATCAGTTACTAATATAATTTATTAAACTTAAACAGAAGTTAATTATACGATCAATATATAAAGTTTAGTAATTTCTCATTGTTCATTAAAGGGGAAATGGAAAGAGAAAAAGTACCTGAAGCTCACCCATTTCCTGGGGAAAATCAAAGACTTGCTCTAATCTATCGCACTCAGATATATCGAGTTCTTGTAGGTGCAACAAACTTTGACCAAGGCAAGGCGGGAAGATGGATTTCAATTCACCGCACTCCCAAATGTTTACAACCTTTAGACTTTGGAGGCTTACATGATATTGATGGGCTAATTGTAATTTCCATATAATCTCCAATTCTGGTAAAGAATATAGATCCAAACTTGTTAAATTTGAGAGTAACGGTATCTGACTAATTTCTTCCTTTCCAAGAAGTTCATCCATTTCAAATACCACTTTCAACCGCTTACAATAGTCAATGGTCACATCTTTTAACTTTTGTAAGAAGCTAATCGGAGGCGAACCATGGCACAACTCTTTCAAACAAGTCATTTCCTTCATGCTTAATTTCACCAAATTAGAGAATGCAGTGGTTGGTCCCTTCTCTCCTGTTGTATCCATCAAGCATTCCATATCATCGCAATCTTTAAGCTGAAGAGAAATTAATTCATTTAGGCCCTTTGGATCTACGTTTGGGACAATATTTTTGTGTCCCACAACATTCTCCAGAGCCAACTTTTCCACATTGCAAAACAACTTCTTGAATGCACTTAATGAAGATGAAAATTTAGTAATTTCCAAGGTTCTAAAGTTTAGCCCCTGCATAAATCGAAGATCTTCATTTACAGCTATAATGTAGCTTTGTAGTTTAGGGAACACAAAGTTTTCTGGAAAACATTGAGCAGTAGAAACTCTTAGTGACAGTGTAGTTAAACGAGACAATGAATTCAGCTCCGATAAGTCAATATTGTTTTCACATGTCACGTGTAGCTCTTGGAGTGATGTCAACCTATTTGTTACACAAATACAAAAAACTATTATCAAACACTTCAAGTGAATCATAAAAATAGAAGTAAACATAAATTAATTTTAATTATCTCAGCAAATATAGCATGATTCTTCAGCACCTTTTCTTATAAAAGAAGGTTTGAGCATTATTTTTACTACTTCGTACTACATCTTTGAATGCTTCATAATAATGGGAGTGATCAAAAGCTTAGGGTAGATATGTTTCCTATAGTCTAAAATCAAATTACTTAATAAAGTAAATAAAAGAAAAATAAATAACATAAAACTAAATAGTTAATTTTGAGCAATATGATAAAAAAAATAATTGCATCTACTATTACCTTGACAGCAAGTTAGGATGAAAATTGATCTGTTTGCTTCCAGAGTGAGAAAAATGAAACGATTTTAGTTCACATAATGCTACTAATTCCTCAGGTAGCTCATAAATATTAGTATCAGAAAATGCAAGAATCTCAAGATTTTCTGTATTTCTCAATGATGAGATGCTTTCGAGCTCGCAATCTTTAAAGCAAAGAGTCCGAAGATTTGCTATGAATTTAAGTACTTCCAGTGAGAAATGACATTTCTCAAATATAAAGCTTGAACGGCTTTCATTCCTTTAACAAATGCAACTGGAACTTTCACTAAAGTCTTTCCTGTAAAAATCAAAATTTTGAGCTTTGGAAATTCCAATTTTTCAGGAAAAATATTTATGTCGCTGTCCCAAAAGGAGATTGCTGTATGGCATCCAAAACTTTGACTTATTGGCCATTCCGTTGAACTCTCTTTTACCATGAATATATCTTTCTCTCTAGACGTTATCCAATGAGCAAAATCACGAGCCACGTCATGCATTCTTACATATTTTTCATCATCATCAGTTCTCAATAACAACCCAGACTCTTGGAGATTTCTTAGAGCTACACGAATTTCCCTGCGCAAGTCTTCAATTAAGTAAATATCAGAAAATAATCCATAACCAATTCCAAAAATAATCAACAACTCAATATCAATATTCCAATCTTCTGGAAAAAGGGAACACAATAGGAAACATGACCGAATATTATCTCCCTTCAAATAATCATAACTCAGCTTAAGGCAGTTGTAGATACCTTGAGAAACCTCTTCATTGTCTAAATATCTTGAGTCCTTGAGTCGCTTATTTGCTGCTTTCCACCCATCTAGATTTGCACCTTTTAGAGCTTTTCCGATTGTTACAATTGCAAGAGGCAAACCATTGCATTCACAAGCAACCTCCTTGGCTACATCATTCAATGCCGAAGAAACATCTTTTAGACCAGCATTATCTTTGAACAAAGCCCATGCTTCATCTTTGGATAAGATATGAAGTTGAAATTTCTGTCGACAATTCAAACGAACACAGACTAGTTCAAGACGTGTGGTCAGAAGAATTTTGCAACCCTCGTGTTGAACACCGAATGGAATACCTACAGTCTGCAATTTAAATTCATTCCAAACATCATCAAGAATTATGAGGATCTTGCTCACGCCTTTCAGTCCCCTCCATAACTCTTCTGCTTTTCCTTCTTCCGTGCTTGCTTCAAATTTCAAACCTAATAATTCTGCAAGTTTATCTTGAATTTTGTTGATGTTTGGCGTTTGGGACATTGTAGCCATCACAACTTTGTCAAAGAGCTTTTGTTCTTTAGCATGCTTCCCAACTTCTTTTGCCAAAGTTGTTTTGCCCACCCCTGGCATTCCATACAGTCCAATCATGTTCACACCATCAGTATTTAGAGCCTTGATGATCTCATTGAAAGTAAAATTTGAAGACTCATTAGGCATGAAATCTTTAGAGGGGAGGAATTCTATTCCTTCTAGAGGAGCACGGCGGCCCACCCGTGAAAAGTTATTCTCAAGAAGTTTATTGATAGAGATCGTCTTCTTTGCCACTTTCATACTTAGGCAATATCGCCAACCCCAACTAGGACACCAATTGAAACACCTCTTACGATCTATTTCAACTTCCAAACTCTGGGTTTCTGCCAATTCTTTCCCAGCTCTTTGTAGCCAGTCTTGAACGTCCTTCTCAATTACCTCAGTTTGCCTTGTAGCCTCATCAACATCATTTTTTACCCGATCACTTTTCAATTCAAGTTCTTTTCTCCGATTCTTGAATTCTTCAACAATTTTCCCAAATCGGAAAAAGTAACTAACATAAGGTGATGCATATTCTGTTGTGAGGTTTCCTACACAATTGGTACAAACAGAGGTAGCACATTCAGCTGCCATTCCTTGAGGATCTGAGATTGAAAAACAACTTTAATGATTAGTAAACATATAAACAACTATAGAGACAAAAGCAATTGTGAATGTTTGCAAAGTACCTTAATTACATTGGGAGCCAATTGTGAAGTAGAAGAGAACGAATAGTTAATGGATCAACTTGGAAATTGAAAATTCTGCAGATGGTGGAAATTATTCAGAAAATATTAAGAATATATGTTACATGTGTTAAGAGTAAAGGCATAGTATATATTTTGATGATTAATCTATCTAATACTTTGCCAATTTTTAAATAAATCTATTTATTTCACTTTTTTCCTTATAAATGCAGTTTTTTGTTTAAATAAGGTAGGGAAACAAACAAGTAAACAACTTTTGAGCATATAAAAATTTATAAAAATAAAAATAATAACTTAAGCGTACCTTATCGCAAATGGACCTTATAAATTAAGCTGTGAGAACTTTTTACATCACCAACTCGAGAGACCCTTGGAAAGGAGAATTAAGGACCAACCTTAATAGAAATTAAAAGAAAAAAGAAATAAAGATTAGCAGCAAAAAAATTATAAGAACATTGAATTATTTTTTTCTTTTTTTTTTGACTTAAAAGCAAATCAGAATAGATATAGCATGAAACAAAATAGACAATAGAAATTTAAAAAAAAAAAAGCAAAAAATTACACTGCAATACTATTTTTGTTAGTTTTATTGTCGAAAGATAAACACAAATATATATATATATATATATATATACACGCCTAGGAAATATGAATTTTCAATATCCAAGATGGAGCTTTTTATTTTGATCCACACAATGTTTTTAGTTCAAAGAAAAGTGAAGTAGAAACCAACTTTGTTTCAAAGAATAACTCTCTTTCCATTTACTCTTTTAGCTATTTTGTCTGATGGGGAAAAAGAATAAGTAAAAGAAATTGAGAAATGGAGGGAGAAAAGTTACCTCAAGCTCACCCATTTCTTTGAGAAAATCATAGACTTGCTCTAATCCATTACTTTAACAAACAGAAACAATTGTTGATGGATCTACTTTGGAATTGAAAATTCTGCAGATGGTAGAAACTCTTCAGTGTTCATGCGCATATATATTAAGAATATATCATACATGTGTTAGAGTAAAGGCATAGTATATGTTTCCATGATTCTATCAAATATTTTCTCAATTTTGGAGAATGAAGTAGAAATGGTTTATTGGAGCACACCTCACTTGGGATGGATCTTCAAGAGCTATATGGACTTTTTACGTCACCAACTCCGTAGATCAGTGAAGGAAATTCAAGGACCAGCCTATGTGTGGATTTCATATATATGTCAATAAAATTAAAATAATAAAAAAAGATAAGTATAGACTGAACCAATGAAAAAAAAAAAAAGAACTGAAACAAAAACGAGTACCTAGTTTTTTTTGGTTGAGTTATAGAAAGAAGAGCAATGCGGAAATGAAACAAAGTGTCTGGCGCTGTAGCTAGCCCCAAGATATGGGGATGATAGAAGACGATGCTTTGCTTGAATGGAAACTGTTTGACGACTGACGATAAAGTAGTATGATTAAGATAGGTCAGCAACACAGAAGAAAAAGCCCAACATAAATATAACAAGGAAATATGACTTTTCAGGATCCAAGATGGAGCTTTTATTTCCACCACGCACAACTTATTAAAGACACTGATAAAGTTGGCGCAAAGATTTTTTTTTTTTTTTTGAATTCAAAGAAAATTGAAGTAGAAATGAACTTTACTTCAAATGAATAAAAAAAAAGACTTCAAGTGTCCATAGATATTAGGAAGTTCCGCTTGAAATCTGTGTGACCAATTGTAACGACAGAGAAAATTTCATCGAATAATTTTTTTTAAATTTCTTTGGATTCTCTTTTATCATTATTACTATTTTCTCCTTTTTAAATTATTTAAATGGAATTGATTTTTATGAAATTAAGAAACTGATTTAAATATATTTAATATTTAATTTTAAATTTTAAATTTTTTATAAAATTAAAATTTCATAATTTTTAATATTTCAAAATAAAAAAAATTTAGATAATAAAAAAAGATAAATTCTAAATAAAAAATAATAAAAAAAGGAATGAGGGAGTATTATTTTTTTTCCTTATTCAAATCCTTAGAGAAGACAGACAGCAAGACAATGCCCAAACATCTTTTCCTTTTCTTGGGGTCTGGGAGCCACTACGGCTATAATATTAATAGAGTCATAGTCGTGCAAATATGGTGAAAATTTATAGTTGGAGTTCAATTTCAAAGTCAATGTTAAAGTTTAATTTAAATTGGTTTGAATTTTAATTTTTAAATATAAATTTATTTTGAAATAAAAATTAATTATTTAAATTAATTTAATTAAATTTATTTATTGAATAAAAATAAATTTAATTTTTTAATTTTAAATTCAATTATTTATTTTCAAACATAAATTTGAATTCAAATTAATATATATAAATAAACTAATAATTTTTAATTAAAATAATAAAACATATATATTAAGTTAATACAATAATTCAATTAAACTTACAAATTATTCAAACTAATTATTAAAATAATAAAATTCTACTCACTCAATATATAAAATTATTTGAATTCAAATTCAACTCTATAATAAATATATCAAATTTAAATTTTGTAGCTTACGAACCTTTATGCACTTAAGAGCAATACCTTTTAAGTTCACTCCTTTAATTATTTGTGGTACTATGAATTTTTTAAGAAATATGATATGTCATTATCACAATTGTCAGGTCTTCAGAGCTTTTTTTAGTGGGACTTGGCATCATTTATACACTTTTGAATTATTGATCCCTTTATTTTTCTCCTTTTTCAATTATTTTTCAACAATAATTTTCTCACGTACTCGGTTCTGCTGGTTCATGGATTGGATTCTGCCCCATGCAATGCAATTAGATTTAATGACCAAAAAAACAAAAGAAAGGCTAAATGATTTCTAAATCTCTTGTTTTTTTTCTCCTCCATTGATTCATCCTAACACTTGAAAGAAGTAAATTTTTAGATTATCTTAACTGATATGCTGCGAAGTACCTTAATTACTTTAGGAGTAATATATAGCTCTACGAAAATGTGAAGTAAAAGAGAACAAATTGTTGATGGATCAACTTGGAAATTAAAAATTCTGCAGATGGAAGAAATTATTCAGTGTTCATGTGTATATTAAGAATATATGTTGCATGTGTTAGTAAGGGCATATTCTATTCTACTCAATTATTTACTTCTGCTGCAACTGAGTAAATTTGACGCAATAATTAGTGCATATTTTTCTTTATTTAAATAGTTGAATTCAAATCATTCTAAATCCAGATAAAAAAGTACACTCAATTACTTATAATTGCAATTTCATTTTAGAAATATTTTAAAATTAATTAACTAATTCAACCACAAAGACAATAAAAATAAGACATTGAGGATTAAGAAAAAAAACTTAAATAAGGAATTTTTAAATTATTATGGAAGATAAATAAGAAATATTATATTTTAATTGGGTTATTGTTTCAATTTGAATTTTAGTTATGTTCAATCATTTCGGATTTTAAATAACTACAAAATTGTTGACTTTTAAAAAAAATTAAAATCGAGTCAAGTTAGTTTATTTTTATAATTATGTATATTATATTTTTTTAAATTAAATTTTAAAATGAGTAAAAATTTTATTTATACTTAATTTGAGTTTTGAATTATTTTAAGTTTGAATTAATTAATCCATGCTATTTTAGCTATACTTTTGTGACATTAAATAAAATTTCAAAATAGAATGAGAACACAACATTTTATAAATTTAAGTGCAAAATATAGAGATATTAATAATAATTAAAGAAGAAATCTTTATGTCCAACTTTTGCAGAGATTAAATCATAAATCTTTTTTTGAGGATTTTTAAATTCATATAGCATAAAAGTTAATCTAAATCAATGAGTTTATAATTTGTTGATGAAGTTGTGGTTATATGAGTTGAGAAGAACAATTCAAATATTTCATTTGACAGAAATATCATAATTTATACTCGGCCAAGAAGATAACATAGAGTTAAACATTATTTAAGTTGTTATGATCCCTTATAATTTTCTTTATTCTTTTCAAATAAAGAAGTTGATCCGCATCAAAATATAAAAAATGCCATTTTGAATTATGATAATAGCAATAAAGCAATAATTAAAAATATATCATCTTTTTGTTTAGTAGAATAAAATTTTAATGTAGAATACAAAGGTAATTATTGTAAATTTAATATTTTTTAAAACTATAGTTTGTTTAATTTTTATAAATTTTATTTAGTAAATTTGTTCTCATTCTTTTATCACATATATAACAAAAGTTTTACCCAAAATTATATACTTAAAGATAGAAACATAAGACAAAATTTATTACTTTTATTGGTGATAGAACATTTCAAATTTTCTAATATTTTATATACGGTTGTACTTCACTAACAGGTATGGAAATATACACACTAATAATTCAATCAAATAATTAACAAAGCTTATCTTAATATGTACTATTTTATCATGAACTAAAAGTTTTGAAGAACATCTTAGAAATGTATACTTAATGTATATTATATTTATTTATTTAATTTAATTTTAATACTTACATTAGTATTATGATTTTAATTTATTACTATGTGTTAAAATATTGATAATAAATTAAAAGTATTTACTCATATTTTTCAAGTAATTTACACTTGAACTTTTTCTTTTTTGTTTCTTTACCTTACAAATTACATCATATAGCATACCTTGTGATTATTTTATTTTTGGATATATATAAATCAATGATAACATAGTAGTGGATAATTAATACCTTAGTAATTAATCATTGAAAACTTAAATGTAATTAGTATAATTTAGTAGTAATCATCAATAACTTAATAGTAAATTAGTAATAACTTAATAATAAATGAATGATAATTTAATAGTTAATAGTTGATAACTTTTATTGAATCGGTAATAATACAATAATAAATGCATAAGACTTTAATGGTAAATTAATTATAATATAATTATAAATGTATAACAGTTTAGTACTAAATCAAGAATAATTAAACAAAAAATAAGTGACAACTTAATAGTTAACTATTTATAACTTAGTAATAAATCATTGCTAATTTTAGCAATAATTTAATAGTAAATTAGTTTCAGTTTAATATAATTAATTGATAGTAGTTATTCCTTGAAAATTTAAAAGTAAATCAGTACAACTTAGTAGTAAATCATCGACAATATAATAATTAATCAATGATAACTTAATAATAAATCTTCCATAATTTAATAAAAATAGTAGTAACTTGGTAGTGAATCATAAATAATTTAGTGATAAATCAATGATAATTTTGTGATAAATAATTAAAAAATAAATACTAAATCAATGATAATGTAATAATAAATATATAAAAATATAGTTGTAAATCATTGATAATTTAGTATTAAATTGATAATTTAGTAGTAAATCCCTAATAACATAATAGCAAATTACTAATAACTTAGTTATAAATCAGTGATAATTTAGTAATAAATTAGTTAATTATTGATAACTTTTTAGTAAATTACCAATAAATTAGTAATAAATTAGTTATAAATTTATAATAAATCATCAATAACTTAATGGTAAATCACCAATAATGATTGGTAAATTGTTCATAACTTAATAGCAAATCTTTTTAAATTAGTAGCAAATCATTCATAAATTAGTAGTACATTATTTATAACTTAGTAGTAAACAACTACTAATTTAATTATCAATCATTGATAGCTTTATTGTATTTAAAATTGTCAGATATTGATCCCTAGGTACTAGCAAAAATAAAGTCAAAATTTTCATTTTAGGGATTAGGATAAATCTACCATGAAACATATTCAATAAAAAATTAGTAAAAAAGTTATAAATTTGAATAAAATAATAATGTTATTGTATAAAGAGAAAATTATCACATATATTATTAGTGGATTTTTAAATTTCATGTTTCATAACTGTAAATACATAACAACATAATAGTAAATCAATGATTGGTTAATAAAAAATAAGTGATAACTTATTAGTTAATAATTGATAACTTAATAAAAAAATCAATGATAATTTAATAGAAAATTAATGATAACTTAATAGTAAATTAGTTTCAATTTAATAGTAATTAATTGATAAATTTAGTAGTGAATCATAAATAATTTAATAGTAAATCAATGATAATTTAGTAGTTAATTATTGAAAACCTAAAAGTAAATCAATGTAATTTAGTAGTAGTTAATCATCAATAACATAATAGTTAATTAATGATAACTTGATAGTAAATCATGAACAATTTAATATAAAATAATGATAATTTGATAATGAATCATGGTTAATTTTGTAATAAATTTGTGATGATTTTGTAGTAAAAAATCCAAAAGTAAGTAGTAAATCAATGATAACATAATAGTAAATAGTTGATAATTTAGATGTAAATTATTGATAACTTAGTAGTAAATTACTAATAATTTGTTGTAAATAAGTGATAATTAATGGCAAATTAGTTAATCACTATAACTTTGTAGTAAACCATTGATAAATTCATAGTAAATCAATTATAACTTTGTAATAAATCATCAGTTAGTAGTAAATCATTAATAATTTAGTATTAAATTAATCATAACTTAGTAGTAAATAAATACTAATTTAATGGTAAATCATTGATAGTTTAACAGTATTTGATTAACAGTTTAGTAGTAAATTGCTGAGAATATAATAGTAAATTAATGATAACGTAATTGTCAATCATTGATAAATTTTTTTATACTTAAAGTTGTTAGGAATTGAATTTTAGTTACTAGCAAAAATGGAGCTAGAAATTTTATCTTGAAAGACTAGGATAAAACTACCATAAACCTATTCAATAAAAAAAATTTAGCGAAAAAATTCTAAATTTGAATATAATAATAATGTTATTGTATAAAAAAAATTATTTTATACTATAGCTGAACTCCCATTTTCATAGAGGAATCTATTATTAAATATATGATGATATAAATTTTATCAATAATTACAAAAAAATATATCATAAGTTATCAAAAGATTACTAAAATTATATCAAGAGGTTACTAAAATTTTATAAAAAATTAGCAAAATTATGTTAATGGTTATCAAAATTATATCATAAGTTACCAAAATTATATTGAAAGTTATCAAAATTAAAATTATATTAAAAGTTATCAAATTTTACTTATATTTTATCAAAATTAAAATTAAAATATTAGTATTTATCAATATTATCATAATATAAAAATTATTTATTAAAATAAAATTTTATAGATAAGAATTACACCTGCATTATGCACGTTACAAAAACTAGTTAAGAATATATGTTACATGTGTTAGATTGAAGGGATAGTATATATTTTGATCATTAATCTACCTAATACTTTCTCAATTTTTAAATAAATCTATTTATTTCACTTTTTTCCTTGTAAATGCAGTTTTTTGCTTAAATAAGCCGGGGAAACAAACAAGTAAACAACTTTTGAGTATATAAAAAATTATGAAAATAAAAATAATTATTTAAGCATACCTTCTTGGAAATGGACCTTCTAAATTAAGCTGTGAGAACTTTTTACATCACCAACTCCCGAGACCATTAGAAAAGGAGAATTAAGTACCAACCTTAATAGAAATTAAAAGAAAAAAGAAATAAAGATTAGCAGGAAAAAAATTATAAGAACATTGAATTATTTTTTCTTTTTTTTTTTTTTACTTAAAAACAAATCAGAATAGATATAGCATGAAACAAAATAGAAAATAGAAATAAAAAAAGGCAAAAAATTATACAGCAATACTATTTTTGTTAGTTTTACTGTAGAAAGATAAACACCGCAAAAATAAAATAAATATACCTAGGAAATATGAATTTTCAAGATCCAAGATGGAGCTTTCTATTTCGATCCACATAAAACGTTTTTTTTAGTTCAAAGAAAACTGAAGTATACTGAAGTATAGAAACCAACTTTGTTTCAAATGAACAAAGAGCTTCAAGTATCCACAAATATTAAGAAGTTCTGCTTGAAATCTTTGTGACCTATTGAAACTACAAAGAATAACTCTCTTTCCATTTGCTCTTTTAGCTATTTTGTCTGATAGGGAAAAAGAATAGGTAAAAGAAATTGAGAAATGTAGATGTAAAAGTTACCTCAAGCTCACCCCTTTCTTTGAGAAAATCATAGACTTGCTCTAATCCATTACAGCAACAAACAGAAACAATTGTTGATGGATTAACTTGGAAATTCAAAATTCTGCTGATGATAGAAATTTTTCAGTGTTCATGCGCATATATATTGAGAATATATGATACATGTGCTAGAGTAAAGGTATATCAGTGTTCATGTGTATATATATTAGGAATATATGATACATGTGTTAGAGTAAAGGCATAGTATATATTTCCATGATTCTATCAAATATTTTCTCAACTTTGGAGAATAAAGTAGAAATGGTTTATTGGAGCATACCTCACTTGGGATGGATCTTCAAGAGCTATATGGACTTTTTACTTCACCAACTCCATAGATCAGTGAAGGAAATTCAAGGACCAGCCTATGTATGGATTTCATATATATGTCAATAAAATTAAAATAATAATAAAAAAGATAAGTATAGACCGAACCAATGAAAAAAAAAAAGAATTGAAACAAAAACGAGTACCTAATTTTTTTTGGTTGAGTTATAGAAAGAAGAGCAATGCAGAAATGAAACGAAGTGTCTGGTGCTGTAGCTAGCCCCAAGATGTGGGGATGATAGAAGACGATGGTTTGCTTCAATGGAACTGTTTGACGACTGACGGTAAAGTAGTATGATTAAGATAGGTCAGCAACACAGAAGAAAAACCCCACATAAATATAGCAAGGAAATATGAGTTTTTAGAATCCAAGATGGAGCTTTTATTTCCACCACGCACAACTTATTAAAGACACTGATAAAGTTGGCGCAAAGTTTTTTTTTTTTTTTAATTCAAAAAAAATTGAAGTAGAAATGAACTTTACTTCAAATGAATAAAAAAAAAGACTTCAAGTGTCCATAGATATTAGGAAGTTCCGCTTGAAATCTGTGTGACCAATTGTAACGACAGAGAAAATTTCGTCGAATAATTTTTTTTTAATTTCTTTGGATTCTCTTTTATCATTATTACTATTTTCTCCTTTTTAAATTATTTAAATGGTATTGATTTTTATGAAATTAAGAAACCGATTTAAATATATTTAATATTTAATTTTAAATTTTAAATTTTTTATAAAATTAAAATTTCATAATTTTTAATATTTCAAAATAAAAAATAAAAATTTTAGATAATAAAAAAAGATAAATTCTAAATAAAAATAATAAAAAAAAGGAATGAGGGAGTATTATTTTTTTTCCTTATTCAAATCCTTAGAGAAGACCGACAGCAAGACAATGGCCCAAACATCTTTTCCTTTTCTTGGGGTCTGGGAGCCACTACGGCTATAATATTAATAGCGTCATAGTCGTGCAAATATGGTGAAAATTTATAGTTGGAGTTCAATTTCAAAGTCAATGTTGAAGTTTAATTTAAATTGGTTTGAATTTTAATTTTTAAATATAAATTTAGTTTGAAATAAAAATTAAATTATTTAAATTAATTTAATTAAATTTATTTATTGAATAAAAATAAATTTAATTTTTTAATTTTAAATTCAATTATTTATTTTCAAACATAAATTTGAATTCAAATTAATATATATAAATAAACTAATAATTTTTAATTAAAATAATAAAACATATATATTAAGTTAATACAATAATTCAATTAAACTCACAAATTATTCAAACTAATTATTAAAATAATAAAATTCTACTCACTCAATATATAAAATTATTCAAATTCAAATTCAACTCTATAATAAATATATCAATTTTAAATTTTGTAGCTTACGAACCTTTATGCACTTAACAGCAATACCTTTTAAGTTCACTCCTTTAATTATTTGTGGTAATATGAATTTTTTAAGAAATATGATATATCATTATCACAATTGTCAGGTCTTCAGAGCTTTTTTTAGTGGGACATGGCGTCATTTATACACTTTTGAATTATTGATCCCTTTATTTTTCTCCTTTTTCAATTATTTTTCAACAATAATTTTCTCACGTACTCGGTTTTGATGGTTCATGGACTGGATTCTGTATCAAATTATGCCCCATGCAATGCAATTAGATTTAATGACCAAAAAAACAAAAGAAAGGCTAAATGATTTCTAAATCTCTTGTTTTTTTTCTCCTCCATTGATTCATCCTAACACTTGAAAGAAGTAAATTTTTAGATTATCTTAACTGATATGCTGCGAAGTACCTTAATTACTTTAGGAGTAATATATAGCTCTACGAAAATGTGAAATGAAAGAGAACAAATTGTTGATGGATCAACTTGGAAATTAAAAATTCTGCAGATGGAAGAAATTATTCAGTGTTCATGTGTATATTAAGAATATATGTTGCATGTGTTAGTAAGGGCATAGCATATTTTTTGATCATTAATCTATCTAGTATTTTCTCAATTTTTAAATGAATCTTTTTATTTCACTTTTTTCCTTAGAAATACAGTTTTTTTTTTAAAATATGCCAGGGAAACAAATAAGTAAACTTTTGAGCATATAAAAAATTATGGAAATAAAAATAATTATTTAAGCACACCTAATTGGGGATGGATCTTCTAAATTAAGCTGTGTGAACTTTTAACATCACCAACTCCAGAGATCATTGGGAAAGGAGAATTAAGGACCAACCTTAATAGAAATTAAAAGAAAAAGGTAATAAAGATTAGCAGCAATAAAATTATAAGAACATTGAATTTTTTTTTTTCATTTTTTTGGAGTTAAAAGGAAATTAGAATAGATATAGCATAAAACAAAATAGAAAATAGAAAGAAAAGAAAGCAAAAAAATGTACAGCAACACTATTTTCTTTCATTGTAGAGAGAAAAACATAGAAAAAAAGATAAATATACCTACAAAACATGAATTTTCAGGATCCACGCAGATTTTTTTTTTCGTTCAAAGAAAACTGAAATAGAATCCAACTTTATTTCAAATGAACAAGGAGTTTCAATTATCTACAATTATTGATAAGTTGTGCTTGAAATCTTTGTGACCGATTGAACCTGCAAAGAAAAGTTTGATTAAAGACTTGTTTAATTTCTTTTGATTCTCTTTTATCATCATTATTACCATTTTCCTTGTTCAAATCCTTAGTGTAAGACAACTAGAAAAGGGCTTATAATAAGATTTTCTATTCTTTTATAAAGTATCAATTATTTGATAATTGATAGTTGTAAATAGATTATTCACACAAATGCAGAATTCCCTATCTCAACTCTCTAACCATTTACCCTTTTTAACTATATTGTCTGATAGGAAAAAAAATAAGTAAAAGAAATGGAGAAATGAAGAGAGAATAGGTACCTCAAGCTCACCCATTTCTTTGGAAAAATCAAAGACGCTTTAATCCATTACAGTAACAAACAAAAACAATTGTTGATGGATCAACTTGGAAATTGAAAATTCTGCAGATGGTAGAAATTCTTCATTGTTCATTCGCAAATATATTTAGAATATATCATACATGTGTAAGAGTAAAAGCATAGTATAAATGCAGTTTTTTTTTTTTAAATATGGCAGGGAAACAAACAAGTAAGAAACTTTAGAGCATATAAAAATTGAGTTTATATTTAACATACTGTAAATATATATATTTTATATACTGTTAGTAAATTAGATAATAGCTCTTTATTAATAAGGAAATATCGGCCTTTAAATTTAATATACAAAAATTAATATTAAAAAAAAACCTTACTTATCAATGAAGTAGCATTATTTGATTCACTTTGTTAATGAAATGGTATCATCTAGTTCACTAACAGTATATAAAATTTATATATTAACAGTGCATCAAATATAAATTCATAAAAAATTATAAAAAATAAAAAATATATTATTTAAGTTTACCTAACTTGGAATGGGCTTCTATATTGAGATATGTGGACGTTTTACATCACCAACTCCAGATATCATTAGGAAAGGAAAATTAAGGACCAACCTTGATAGAAATTTATAAAGAAAGAAAAATAAGGATCAACAACAATAAAATTATAAGAAAATAGAATTACTTTTTTTCTTTCTTTGGAGTTGAAAGCAAATCAAAACAGATATAGCATGAAACAAAATAATACAATACTTTTTTATAAATAAAAATGAGAAAGAAAATAGAAAGCAAAGAAAGCAAAAAAAATACAGCAACACTGTTTAAGTTAATGTTTTTATTATTCCTCTTACCTATTTAAGTTAATACTTTTATGATATTTTTTAAATTTTAAAATATCAATCCTTTTACGGTTTTTTTATCCTGAAAAGTATTTTTTAGCCATTTACCTTATCTATTTACAGGAAAATAATTAATTTAAATTTTATGTTGCCTACTTTAATCTTACCTTATGATATATTTAGAATTTTCGTCATTCTTAAGGTGTTAAGACACTTCTAACTTATTTTATGTCAAATGATATATTTATAACTTTTTCTTAGAATGTTAAGGCTCTTTTAATCCATTTTAAGTCAAATGTGACGAATTTTATTATTCTTTTGACATGTTTATGTTAATAATTTTTTATTTTTTATTTTCAATTATTAATTTTTAAAATTATCTTTTATTTTAAAGTATTTTTTAGGCACTAGCCTAAAAATATTTGCAGGAGAAATAATTATTTAAATTTTATGTTATCAACATAATTATTTACTATAAAATAATATAATTTTACACTAATTCTTAATTTCGATTATGTTTAAAATTTTCTTAACTCTTTCCTATGGTGTTAAGACACTTCTAATCCATTTTACACAAATTGTTACTCTCACCTATTTACTTTTATTCTTACCTTTTATCACATATAGAGTTTTCATAGTTTTTCTTAAAGTGTTACATGACATTTATAACCTATTTTATGCCAATTGATTTAAAATTTTCATAGCTCATTCTTAGAATGTTATGATATTTCTAACTTATTTTACGTCAAATAATACGCATTGAATTTTTTTCTCTCACCTATTCACATTTATAATTTTTTGAAATTTTTTTTAGATATTAGTTTTTAAAGATATCTTTTCTTTTTTAGCCTTTAAAATATTTTCTAAGCCATGAACTAAAAATATTTATAAGAAAAATAATTAATTTAAATTTTACGATGTTAACTGACATCAAAATAATAACTTCTTACACTTATTCTTACCTGCTATTATGTTTAAAGTTTTCATAATTCTTTATTAGGGTGCTAAGACAATTTTAACTTATTTTACAGAAAATGATATATATTTTATTATTTCTCTCACCTGTTTGTGTTAATATTTTTTTTTGAAAATTAATTATTTTCAAATATTAATTTTTAATATTGTCTTTTTATTTTTTTAGTCTTTAAAATAGTTTTTACTCATAGCCTAAAAATATTTACAAGAAACATAATTAATTTAAATTTTATATTACCAACTTAATTATTTATGTTAAAATAATATCTTCTTATACTTATTCTTTTCTTCCATTATGTTTAAAATTTTTATAGTTATGTTTTTAGGTGTTACAACACTTTTAACTCATTTTGCAACAAATTATACTAATTTTATAATTTCCCACACTTGTTTACGTTAATAAGTTTATTTGAACTTTTTTTAATTTTCAAACATTAATTTTTTAATATTGTCCTTTTTTACTTTAAAGTATTTTTTAGTCATTGGCCAAAAGATATTTATATGAATAATAATTAATTTAAATTTTACATAACAACATAATTCTTTATGTTAAAAAAATCTTTTTACATTTATTCTTATCTTTCATTATATTTAAAATTTGTATAATCCTATCTTAAGATATTACAACACTTCTAACTTATTTTTAGCCTTGGAAGTATTTGTTTAGCCATTGATGTTATATATCCAATTATTAGAAAAATAATTAATTTAAATTTTGCATTACAAACTTAGTTATTTACATTAAAATAATATCTTCTAACACTTAATGTTATTGGTTAAAAAGATTGAAAAGGTTATGAATGAAAAACTTGTTAAGCCAATCATTAAAATTTATAACTACTTTCTTATTTTGTGGCTTAGCCATTAGACTAAAAAGCTTTTTTCTTATCCCTTTTCATCTTCTATACCAAGCAAAGCCTTATTCTTACCTTTTATTACTTTAAAAATTTTCATAACTTATTTTTTAAGATATTACAACATTTCTAACACATTTTATGTCAATTAATACAAATTTTATTATTCCTAACTCTCACTTGCTTACATTAATATATATTTTTAATCTTTCATTTTAAAATATCAATTCTTGTACATTTTTCCTTGAAATTATTTTTTATGTTAATATTTTATTAATTTATATAAAATCATACTTTTTAGCTATTTTAAGAAATACCAATTATTTAAAGTTTTTTAAAAATAAATATATTAATTATTATTTTTAAGTAAATTCATAAACAACTAAGAAAGTGTAAAATCGAAGACTAATTTTTGTAGTACGTACAGTGAAGACTAATAAAGGCAAACGAGAAATGAAGTTGAGCATAGCAAAAATTATGGGGAATAAAATTTATATATAAATGGTTTATTGAAGCATACCTCGCTTGGGATGGATCTTCAAAAGCTGTATAGACTTTTTTACTTCACCAACTGCGTCGATCAGTTTTTTTTTTCTTTTTCCCTGTTAAAAGAACAGAAAATTAGAAATCAATAAAAGTAAAAAAAAAAAAAAAACCCTTTTTTTAGTTATAAAAGCAAAGTAGAAAATCAAGGAAATTAAAAGAGCACCAAAATTTTTTTGTTGAGTTATAAAAAGAAAAGCAATAAGGCAGAATCAAACAAAGGATTTGGTAGTTTAGCTAGCTGGAAGATGTGGAGATAATGATAGAAGACGACGCTTGATTGCTTCAATGGAAACTGTTTGAGGAGAGAGTTGTAAGAGTAAAGTAAGGCAGCAACACAGAAGAAGAAAAGATAACAAGGAAATATGAAGTTTCAAGATCCAACAACTTTACTTCAATTGAATAAAAAATTCAACCATCAAAGACTTCTGTGACCAATTGAAACTAGAGAGAAAAGTTTCACCAATGACTTCTTTAATTTCTTTGGAGTCTTTGTTTATTATTTTTGTAATTACTATTTTTCTTATTCTAATCCTTAATGAAAGACAATTAGACAAGGGCCTAAACATCTCTTTCTTTTCTTGGGAGCTGTACCTTCTTTAATTTGCCATTATATTACGGTTTAATATTAAACTTTGTCATTGTATTTTTAATATATTGATTTTGAAATAAAAATAATAAATAAAAATATTTTCAAAATATTCTATTCATGTAAGAGATAAATTTCTGTTAATTTCAATTTTTCTTTCGGGTTCAAAGAAAACTCATGATATACAAGCAACTTTGATTCAAATGAAAAAAAAAAAAAATCAACTATCCACAAATATAAAAAAGTTATACTTGAAATCTTTGTAATTAATTGAAACTACCTAGAGGAATTGCATCAAAGACTTCTTTAATTTCTTTGGAGTCTCTTTTTATCATTATTATTTTTAGTGAAAGACAAAAGGGTCCAAATTAACATCATTTCCTTGTCTTGGGAGAAATATATTTAAGTTCACACCTTTAACTTTTTTTTTTCTTTCGAAGAAATCTGATTATTATTAAAGCTAGCTCTTTACAGCTATTGGTAGTGGGATATTACATCATTGATTTCACTTTTGAATTATTGATCCTTTTATTTTTGTCTTTCTTTTTTTTTTCAATTATTTTTCATCATAATTTTTTCACCTACTTAGTTTTGTTGGTTTTCATGAGATCAGATTCTGTATCGAATTATGCAACATGCGATACAAGATTTCATGTCCAACAAACTAAATCTTTATTTTAATTAAAATAAAGAGACAAATCTCATAATTCGATATATATGAATAATTCTAATGGTTGTTTCATAAATTAAAAAGGTCAAAAAAATTGTTCAAAGAGTAGAATGAAAAGTATAATCTCAAAAGTTCATGAAAAAAAATGGTAAATTAACATTTGAAAATTGAAATTAACATCAGAGTAAATAACATTAAAAACCTATTAATTTTCCTACTATTATTATTACCATTTTTTTATTCAAATCCTTAGTGAAAGACAACGGTAGAAGGGCCCAAACATCTTTTTCTTTATGGGGCTATTGCTTTACTTTTTTTTTTTTTTCTAAATTATTTAACCAATAAATAATAGTGTAACGGCAAGAGGGGTGCGTCTCACTAGGATGTAAATGTATAGGAAATCTTCAACTGACCACAAATTTTGAAACTCTGCTTCAAATCTCTCAATTCATTTGAAACTACGAGGAAAAGTATCTGTCGATAAAAGTTCTGTTTTTATTCAAGGGATTAAAATTCTATATCAAATTATGGTCCATGAGATGCACGATTTAATGACCAAACAAAAAAGGGATTCATGATTCAAAATCTTTTTTCCCTCCCTTGATTTATCCTCACTTATCAAAAAACTAAAAAAATTTATATCAAAACAAATTCCGTATTTAAATTTTTTACATTTAAAATTTTATTATTTAATTTTTTAATATCAAAAGATACTTTAATTAGAGTATAAAAACATATCATGCAATTCTTGTTTCATCAAAGACTGGTTTAATTTCATTGGATTCTCTTTTATTATGATTATTATTACCATTTTTATTACTCAAATCCTTTATGGAAGACAGCTAGCTAAAGTCTATTGATTTAATATATCTTAAATTATGAAGACACATAATATATATTTCAATTAAAGGCTAAATATGAATGATTAAAAGGTTAAGATAGAAGAAGACAAATAATTAAATCCATCATGATCTCAAAGAAAAGAAAAAGTATTCCAATTACATCTCTAAAAAAATGAAAAAGAAGAAAAAAAATTAAGATGACGATGCTCTTCGGGAAGTGCAATGGCAAGAGGGAGGTGGGTGTCATTCAAATCCTCGTTAGTGGAAGACAAAAGGACCAAACATCTTTTGTTTGTTATTGAACCATGACTCAAAAGGCAATTAAGTTTACACCTTTAACTTTTTATCATTATCAAGATTGCAAACTTATTCTTCACAGATTTTTTTTTTTTTTATAATTCTTCACTGCTTTTGCTAATGGGACATGGCATCCTTGATGCACTTTTGAATTATTGATCCCTTTATTTTTTTTTCTTTTTCTTTTTTTAAATTATTTTTCCACATTTGTTGTGAAACTTTACTACTTATAATAATTTATCAGAATTAAAATCGTATAGTAAGATTTTCTATTGTTTTTATAAAGTAGCAATTATTTGATAATTCATAGTTGTATGTTGATTCTTATTTCTTCACAAATGCAGAATTCCCATCTCAACTTTCTAACCATTTAGTAAAAGAAATCTAAACATGAAAAGGCATATATGACTATACGAAGAAATCACTGAACATGTTTGTCAGAAATATTAATTCAGATTTTAAAAGACTTCGACATAGACTTGTTCGAAATTATTTCGAGATTAATTAGTATTGCATGATGGATAAAAAAACTAGAAAGGAAAAAATTTTAAGAGAAATTATTTTTTGTGATAAGTTAAGTCTTATAAATGTTAGGGATTAGGTATAACAGAAAAATGTAAAGAAAATTGTAGGGTTTATCAAGTAGACATCTTATAGTACTAGGGAAGATTAAGAAGGTCCATATGAGCATGTATATTTGACTGGAGTAAAGAAGATTGAGAGCATCCTTATGTGTGTGATTTTGTTTATTTGGATTGAGTATATTTTATAGGATTAGAATAGAATAAAAGACTTTATGGATATTGATTGTGAGCGTTGATTGATTTAATTGTATAAATTCTCAATAACTAGTGAATATTTTTCTTATCCATAAATGTTAGCCATTTTGGGTTAGGCTAAACTACGCTAAATTGTTGCTATATAACACTTTGAGTTTGGTTGAATTACATTAAATTATTATCTCTTATATAGATGATTTATGATTTGATTTTAGTTTTGCTCGCTTGAATATCAAATATATTTGAATAATTATTTGATTTTTTCTCTCATCCGTGAATGTAGGTTATTTTGGATTAAACTGAACTACATTAAATTATTGTCTCTTATGTAAATAATTTATGGTTTGATTTTACTTCCGCTTGTTTGAATGTTAAACATGTTGAAACAATTAATGGATCTTTTTTTTTATTCGTGGATGTAGGCCACTTTCGATTGGATTGAACCATATTTAATTGTTATCTTTTGTGTAGATGATTTATAATTTGATCATACCTCTACTTACTTATATGATTGATGGATTTGATTTTAGTTTTGCTCGCTTGAATATCGAATATATTCGAATAATTATTTAATTTTTTCTCTCATCCATGAATATAGGTTATTTTGGATTAAACTGAACTACATTAAATTATTGTCTCTTATATAGATAATTTATGGTTTGATTTTACTTCCGCTTGTTTGAATGTTAAACATGTTGAAACAATTAATTGATCTTTTTTTTTATTCGTGGATGTAGGCCACTTTCGATTGGATTGAACCATATTTAATTGTTATCTTTTGTGTAGATGATTTATAATTTGATCATACCTCTACTTACTTATATGATTGATGGATTTGAGGTTACTTTCCTAAATTAAGATGTGTAGACTTTTTTAACCAACTTGAGAGACCATTAGGAAAGGAAATTTAAGGACCAATCTTCAATAAAAATTAGAAAAATAAAGAAATAAAAGACCAACAGCAATAAAATTATTAGAACATAGAATTAATTTTTTTTTAGTTAAAAACAAATTAGAATAGATATAACATGAAATAAAATAAAATAAAAAAAACCAAAAAATTTATACAGTAACACTTTTTCCTTTTACTACAAATAGATAAACATAGAAAAAATAAATAAATATTGTAGATTCCTCGTTTAGTTCAGGGCTTTTAAATTCGATTTGAGATTGTTAATAAAATTCTAATTCTTAATTGGACCTTAATCTGGTCTGTTTAAAGTCTAGTTACAATTTGACTGGATTTGATTCAAAGGTCCAATTCTAACTTTATTTCTTTTTCTTTTGCATTTTTTTATTTTCATTTATTAATTATTAATTATTTTACTTTCTTTTTTATCATTATTATTGTGGAAATTAATTAAAAAAAGATAAAAAAATATGAAAATAAAAAACATAAGAAATTCAAAATGGAAGATGGGACAATGAACTTTTGAATTTTGTAGATCAAAGAATTTTCAAAACTAGGATTAGCATAAGAGTTTTTCAAATTTTAAATCTTTTTATAATAAACAAATAAAAAAAATCTGGTAACCAAATAATTCAAAATTTAGAACTAGAGACTTTTCATTTGAAAACCACAGGAAATTTCTTTGATGTGTGACTCCATCAGAGTTGCAAGTAGACTTAATAATCATTCATACGATCCATGGAATTACAGAGAAAACAATTCTTTTTTAGAGTAGTTGAATTAATTTTCACTCAAACAAATGGCTAAACATAGCATTATTTCACAATATTTAAGAGTAAGAACATCAAATGCCTCCAACAACCAAAAATTTATTGATCGTTCGACGCATAGAGTAAACTGGTTCTTCACTATACTACTGCAAAATAAAGCTGAACACAGAAATCCAACAGTTGATGGTGCCATGAAAACAGACTGCTCAAATGTTGTTGATATCAATCACTTTCATTATTATTGAAGCAAAGAAATGAACAACTCTTCTATCATGAGCCATTAGACAAGCACACCTTAATTAAGGAATGAAATATATGCCAAAATTTATCATTGCAGGTGGGCTGATTGTCATCCATTTCCTCCATTCTGGTTAAACGCTCCGCTGTATTATACTCAACTTGTTGGGGTGCCTTTACAGCAAATTAAGACTATTATTTTCTTGTTAGGAGGGTAGAAAAAGAAAGGATAGAAAAATATGTTAATTGTGATTTGTTGATAAATTATTAGACTTATTAGTTTAATTACTCAGATTTAATTTTTGATAATTTCAGTTAAAAAAAGTATATTAGTTAATTAATTGATTTTGTGTAGCTAGGTGATGGACCGAATACTTCATGTGTGCATATATTCGAGTATTCCAATGAGAACAAAATAATAGATATGACTTTTCTTTTCATTATTGATTTTGTTAATTAA